AACGACGTGGAGGGAAATACATTATTCATACGATATGATGAAAAATTCCATGAAGCATTGCCAACTACCGCACCACATGTGACGAAGAGGCTTTCACAAGCGTCCTTCATGTATCATACCGTACATACATACCCATGCCAATCTGCTTAGGTTCCCTCTCAATCATCCAACCGGGCCCTGCACAGAACAGCACAAGCTCGGTCAGTGAGTGAGCAGGTGCAAGCAGCACTCATCCAGCACACGCACCACTCGAGTGTGAGAGTTGAGAGCTTGAGAACATGGGGCGGTCTCAAACCAGAGTGCACTCACTTGTTGATGGCGACGAACCGTGCGCCCAGAGTGGCGCGTTGCAATAGCTTCTCTCGCTGCCCCACTGGGATGGCCTCAGCCTGTTTGCTCCTCCGGGCAGCACGCACAGAGGCACACGAGGGAAGCAGGAGCACCTGTGGCAGCAAAGCACCCACCTGTGGCAGCAAAGCACCCACCTGTGGCAGCAAAGCACCCACCTGTGGCAGCAAAGCACCCACCTGTGGCAGCAAAGCACCCACCTGTGGCAGCAAAGCACCCACCTGTGGCAGCAAAGCACCCACCTGTGGCAGCAAAGCACCCACCTGTGGCAGCAAAGCACCCACCTGTGGCAGCAAAGCACCCACCTGTGGCAGCAAAGCACCCACCTGTGGCAGCAAAGCACCCACCTGTGGCAGCAGAGCTTGCAGCAGGTGCATGCCCCAGTTCCACATGTGCGGCGCCGTGCCAAAGCGCGCCCACACCGTGGGCACCCCCAGCACCTCGTGTGCTGACACCACCTCCGGTAGGTTGCTGTATGGGGGAGAGGCAGGAGGGGGAGGAGGCGGAGAGGAGCACGGGAGAAGTGGGAGCGGAGTGAGAAGGGAGTGGAAGGGGAGTGGGAGAGAGACGAGGGCAGAGACCTGAGGAGCGGGAGCAGTGGCGACAGCTGCTGCGGACATATGTGCAGCACACTCATGGCATGGCAAGGTATATGGCATGGCATGGTATGAAAAGGCAAGAGCAAGGCAAGGCACGCCCTCACTCACAGCAGGTACGTGGTTCTCTCCCCCACGCTCTCACTCACAGCAAGTACGTGGTTCTCTCCCCCACGCTCTCCTCACAGCAAGTACGTGGTTCTCTCCCCCACGCTCTCACTCACAGCAAGTACGTGCTTCTCTCCCCCACGCTCTCACTCACAGCAGGTACGTGGTTCTCTCCCCCACGCTCTCACTCACAGCAGGTACGTGGTTCTCTCCCCCACGCCCGGCCCAAAGTCCACCAGGTGTTGCCGGCTGTATGCTGGCAGCTGCAGGCGCTGACCTGGCACGGAGAGGAAAGGGGGAGAGGGCAGAGGAGGAGGGCACGGGGCGAGTGAGGCACCACACCGGGAAGACAACGGCGAGCAGGGGGAAGCAGCGGCGGCGGGGAAAGAAGAAAAGGTGAGAAACCCTCTGATGCCCTCGTTCCATCCCACTCTCTCCCCTCCACAAACTTCACTCCCCACATCCACTCCACCCATTCCTCCACCTTCCTCAATCTCACCCCCATTCACTTCCCCCTCGCCCCATCTCATCCCCCCTTTCACCCCCATCACCCCCTCAACCCGTCCTTGAAGGCCGTGGCAGGCTCGCCCAGCAGCAGCAGGCTCGTGGTCAGAATGGTGGGACCCGCCCCCCCGTGCCCGCCGTGAAATACGAGAAGCTGGGGGAAGGGAGGGGGGGGGAGGAGGATGGGGAGAAAGGATAGGTGGAAAGCGGAAGGGGTGAGGTTTGGTGTTGGCCGGATGGGAAGAGAAGGGGCGTGCATGGGGGAGGGGAGTGGGTGGAGGGAATGCGACGGTGCAGGAGAGGAGACAGGTGCGGAGAAACGACACGACATGACAAAGTTGGAACTTGGTGGGTGCAGGTGAGTGAGTGTGTGAGTGAATGAGCGTGTGAGTGAGTGAGTGAGTGAGTGAGACGGTGAGTGAGTGATAGAGCGGTGGCACCGCAGGCTCTTTGGTCGAAGGCCAAGGGCGGCCTGCTGCTTACCTTGTTGCTCCACCATGCGCGCCCCCTCCTCCCCCGCTAGCCGCACCAGCTCTGCTGCCATCACTGCCACCAGGATGAGCACAGGAAAGCACAGCATGGCACGTTGCTCCTGCTGTCATGCCCCACACGCTCTGGGTGGGACGGATCAAGCGTGCAGTATGGCAGCATGGCAACATGGGGCATCAAGCAGACAACCCGTGGTCCAAGTCCCCTCCCCACAACTCCTCACGTCAGCTCTCCTCTCCTGCCCCATCCTCATCACTACTCTCCCATCTCCAACCAACTTTTCCCCCAACATCCCACCTGGCGCCCAACTTCCCCCCCCTTCCCCATCCTCCATACGGACAGTTGATGACGCCCGGGTAGATGCCGGCGGTGGTGATGGCCGGCACACCCGCCGCCACTGTAGCACCGTGAAGCGAGCGCGCGTTCCCAGCGAACGCCACGTCGGCACACACGTCCACGTAGGGCGTCTGAGGAGGCGAGGGGGGGTAATTGGGAGAGTGGGCAGAGGGCGGGAAGGGAGGCACGTCGAATCCTCTCTCCCGTGCTTTCCCAGCGAACGCCACGCCGTCTCTCTCACGTCCACGTAGGGCGACTGGGGGGGACGGGGGGGTTGAGGGGAGGGGGAAGAGGGGTTAAAAGGAGGAGATTGGCAGAGAAGCACGATTGCGCTATGACAGCACGGAGCAGGTGATGGACAGCGCAATCGAGCGGTGTGGCAGGGTAAGTGGAGGGGAGAGAGGAGGAAGAGGCCTGAGAGGAAGGCAGCCCACCTTGGTGCGGATGGCTGCCTCCAGAACGGTGCAGTTCGGTTCTCGCTGGAAGGGCCCCACACAGTGCACCACCAGGTCGGCTCCTGCAAGCAGGCGGAGGACGGGGCGGGGGAGAGGTGATGGAGAGAGTAGGAGGAGACGCAGGTCGCGGGAAGGATGGGAGAGGGCGAGGCAGCAGCAGAGGCAGTCGCAGAGAATGGCAGAAAATGGCACGGATTGGCATGGGAGGCACGGCGTGGTCCATGGGAGATGTGAGACTCGGGGCTGTGAGGGCGACCTGTGAGGAACGCGTCAAGTGCAGAGGTGTCGGTGATGTCGCACGCGGCAAACACCGCACTCCCTGCCGCCCCCGCTGCCGCCCTCACCTCCTCACACACCGCCTCGCCCCTCCCCCTGCCTCGCCTCCGTTGAGACACAGATGCGCCCACGCATGCACGCACGCATGGAGGGGTGGTGGGCGGGTGGGGAGCGGATGGGGGTTGGGGAAGGACGAGAGCGGAGGGAAGAAGGAATGAGTGGAGAGCGGCCACACATTTCCGCAAGCACCGAGGCAAGGGGCACATGCAGCCATGCGCGCATGCACACACGCCGCGACGAAGCAGCACCGACAGAGCTCCGCGTAGAGACGTCACGCGCAGAGAGCGCCACGCGCAGAGTGCGCCATTCCGGGCGGGCGCGCACCTGTTGCGCCCGCTGATGATGAGCTCCAGTTGGAACTCCGCGCGCGTCGCCTCATCGTCGGACGCCGCCAGCGCCGCCAGCGCCACGGCCGACGACCGCCCCACGCGCCCGCTCCCGCCGAGAACCACCACGCGCTTCACCCCGCCGCTGCTTCGCTCGCCCCCAGCCCCGCCCCTCGACTCCTTCCCCTCATCCGCGCCTGCCGCCGCCTGCGGCCTCAGCGCGATGGCGCGCCGCCTGGCCGCCCCGCGGAGAGGGGCGAGCGGAATGCGGCGACAGCAGAGCGAACCAGCGGGGATAGCGGAGAGCGGCGGTAGGGAGGCGGAGCGGAAATATGGGTGAGGCGAAAGGCATTGGGAATGAGAGGCGCGCAAAGCTGGTGCGCGCGGCCGAGGGGAAGCGCGGACATGGGGCGGAATGCGGGCGACAAACGCGGCGAGGGCGGAGGTTGAGTGGAGTTGAATGCTCTCATGTGCCGTGAACCCGTTAGTGGCAACTTCGCTACTCGTTCCACGCTGTTGTGGTGTTATCCTTCTTGTACCGTGAGAAAATGGTGTAAGGCAGGGTGGAAATTCGACCCTACCAAACCACCGCCGGAAAAGTGCGACGAAAATCAACATTTCGCGAGCCTCGCACAACACAATAGCCGGTTACCAGTGGCGAACCGAGCACGTCAAAACCTTTGCTCACCAAACACGCCTCCCTAAGGACGCGCCCTGAATCCGCCTTCTGCGGTGACGCGCGTTCCACTTGGTCCCGCCTACTGCCACCCCACTGCCGCTGTGTACTCCCGCAGCCTCCCGGCTGTTGACTCCGCTCGCCCTCTTTCATCACCACACTCAAGCTCGTGCTTCTCCTCTCTTCCTCCCGACATGCTACCGACCCTCATTCCAGCCGCTTCTGCAGCCGGCATCGGGAAGGGCATCGCCTGTCCGCCACCTGCCTACGGCTGCACCCGGCAACATCGGGGACTCCACCCGCCCCGCTTGTGCGAACCCCTCCTCGCGCTGCATGCGAGGCACTTACCCGAGCGGCCGCGTGCCAGAAGGGCTATTGCCGACCGTCTCCAAAGCGATTGCTTCGAGCTTTCTCCTTGCGCGCGCACCCGCCGTTACCCTTGGCGATTCGGCAGCGAGCGCAGCCGTGTTGCTGTCGCAGCAGCGCAGTTCTCCGCAATGACGGCGGGGACAGGCGGAGTGGGGGGATCAGAGGTGGTGGAGAGCGGGGGAAGCGGGGACAGCAGAGAGTGGGAGATGGGAGAGGGGAGAGTGCGTGGAGGACGCGTGAACATCGTTCCGCGGCAAGAAGCGGTGGAGGAGAAGCGGGCGGGCACGGCTGCAAGGGGAGTGCACGTGGGGGAGGTGGTGCGGGGCAGCGGCGTGGAGGAGGCAGAGCAGGCAGCGGCGTCACACATGACTGTGCGAGAGGGCGAGCACGTGGAACGAGGCTATGCTGCAGGGGTGGGAGCGAGGGCAGCAGCAGGGCGAGGAGACAGTGCGCTAGCAGAGGAGTGGGGCACAGCAGGCTCGCTCTCACGCACGCGCGCACAGCCCACACCCATCTGTCCTGACCTGCCTGTGCTGGCTGCCATGATGCCAGGGTCAGCCCCTTCAGCAGGGGCAGCAGGCCCCTGGGCGGATGCGCCCTCCAGTGTGGGCAGTCACAGGAGCGCCCATGCGGATGCGTGTGCGTCAATGGAGGGCCACCTGTGCAAGGAGCCGTCGCTGCTCGTCTTCTCAGGTACCCTCCCGCTGCTCCTGCTGTCTTGCCTGCCACCGTCGCCCGCCGCCATCCCTGCCGCTCTACATGCTCACGTGCGCCTCTCCCTGTGCTGCCTTCCTTGTGCACGGCCGTGCGCGGTGTACGGCAGGAGGCACGGCGTTCAACGCGGTGGCGGAGGAGGTGCACGAGTGGACCACCGCTGTGGCGCACGTGTTGCCCGTCTCCGATGATGGCGGCAGCACCGCAGAGATCGTGCGCGTCATAGGTCAGCCACTCACACCCTGCTGCTCTCTGCCTCACCGCCCCGCAGCAAGGTGCTTCCTGTTGTTGCTGCATCTCTCTCTCACGCCATGCTTCCCATGCTCTCTCCAGCGCCCACCTCTCTCACTCCACACCCTCTTTGACCCCCTCATCCCGCACCACTCTCTGTGCCCCCAGGCGGGCCTGCCATCGGTGACATCCGCTCGCGCTGCCTGCGCCTGTCCGACGGGTCTAGCCACGAGGCCAGAGCGGTGCGGCGACTGCTGGGACACCGCCTGCCACTGCACCCCGCGCAAGCCAAGGCAGAATGGTGACCTCACCCCCACACTACATCCATCACAACCACTTACTACATCCATCATCTGTGGGCTGGTGCGCACGGCTCACAGTGTGGCTTGCCATGGGCATGTGGCGTGTGGGTGTGGGTGCGGTGGGTGTGCAGGGTGAGCATAGTGGAGGGCGAGCACGAGCTGTGGGGGGGCGTGTCGGATCCATACAAGGAGATCATCCGCGCCTTCCTCCTGCACTTCCACTACCAGGTTCACCTCTGCTCGCCTCCACACCACTATTTTTGCTCCGCTTGCAACAGTCACCAACAGCTCATCAGGACCTACTCCCTCGTCCTCATGTGCCCATCCTCGTCCGCTCTCCGTTCTTTCTGCCCTTGCCCTCCATGCCAGATTCTCCGCAATGCAGGCCACCGCTTCTGCTTCCAGCATGGCAGGTGTGCATTCTCTTTCCGCCTCGCACACCCGTCCTTTTGCCATGTACTGACATGACACTTGCACGCCACGCCCCTTACGATGACTGCCACCTCACGCTCTCCACTTGTCCTTCTGACCTCCCACCATCACGCCATGCGTGCCACCTGTGTGCGCGCGTGCATGGCATGGAGGGCAGTGTGGGCAACTTCTTCTTCTCGGGCGCGCGCTCCTTCTTCCGCTCGCTGGACGCCGCCATCTTCCTCTTCTCGCGCGTCTCCAACATCCCACAGCGCAGCCTCGTGCTGCCCTGTGTCTGCACCAACGACCGCTTCACTCTCGGCGCCGAGCTCTACGTAACCACACACCCCCCGCACACACCACTTCCTTAAGTCATGCCTCTCATCCCACCTGCCATACTGACAAAAGCCCTACCTAGCTCTTCACCGCCTCCATTGCCTATCAGTGCAGTGTGACTCACTTTGGCCCCGCATGAGCATTGCATGGCCATCCCCTTCCATGATCACCATAAAACCCATTTCTCCTTCCACTCACTGCAGTGATCTGTCCCAGTTTTCATCTAATCCCAATATCCCTCCCCTGTGTCTTTGTGCGTGCGACTCGCCTTTCCCGTATGCGTGTTGGCGCACCACATGGTGTGGGCATCAGGACGGCAGCATCATCCGCGGGCAGAACGACATCTCACACCCCGCTGTCGTGGACAGCCCACGCCACCTGCCGCTCTCCGTTGACAAGGTCGCACTGCACTGCTCCCACCACCCTGCTGCTGCAATGCCGCCTCTGCATGCCTTGCCGCCGCCCCCTCACACCCACCCACGTCCACCACCCAGGTTGATGGAGCGTGCCTCACGTGTGCTCCTGCTGCCTGTCTTCCTCTCCGTTCTCCTACCCCCATTCTCTCTGCAGTCTTCTGACGCGTCGCCTCCTCTGCCCGCCCCCATCCGCCGGGTGTTCTACATGTCGAGTGAAGGCACCAACCTGCTGCACGAGGTGCGTGCCGCCTGCCATGGGCTCACCTCTGTGCCGCCATGTGCGCCACCTCTGGGATGCTACAAGCTGCCAACTGTTGGAAATGCTGCATCTTGCATGCGCCATGTGTGGAACCAAGGCCCGTAGATGGCACCTTCCATCACCATGTGTGGTGTGTGGCAGGTGTTCCCACGGGTGAATCCGCGAGTGCTGGAGCAGATCGCATCAGTGGATGCCATCATCTATGGCATAGGCTCCCTCTTCACCTCCATCTGCCCCTCCCTGGTACCGACCTACACCCCTCCTTTCTAACCATCTCCTCGTTCTCACCTTTTATGTTCATCTCCCTCACTCCTTCATCCTGTCATGCTCTCACTATCACTGTTTTAAGCAGAGAGTTATCCGTTTGTGTCTCCCATTTTTGTTGCACTCACCACTGTCCCGTCCGCATTCCCTTTCCCCCGAACCTCAGATCTTGCGAGGGGTGGGAGAAGCAATCGCCGCACGAGAATGTCCCAAGGTATGGCTGAGGGCATCAGAACATCCTAAGCAGGAATGCTCTGCTCTGCTGCACGCCCCATCAACTCTTTTTGTTCCTCCCTTGCCATCCTCCCCTTCGCCGGCTCGTTTTTCGTGGGGGAGGGCGTGAGTTCAGAGGGAAAAGCTCGCAGTGGCATCACATGTTGTGGGGCATGCTCCCCTCGTGTGCCCCACGCGCGCATGGCATGGCAGGTGCTGGTGCTGAACGGGTCACTGGACCGTGAGACAGCGGGCATGGCGGCGTCAGACTTCGTGCTCGCCATCTGCAACTGCCTCAACCGCACCTTCGGAGACGACTCCCGCCACCGCCTCACCCACTCGGTCAGATGCACACGCCACTGCTCACACCTGTGTATTTCTGCATGCTTTCAACTCCCACTTACCCTTCATCCATTGCACTCGTGTTCCCCTCTGCTGTGGCCACCCATTTCCGATCTCCTGCAGTCGATGCACTATGTGACGCATGTCATCGCACCAGAGGGAGGAGCCATTCCCCTTGATCATGAACGCCTCACATACTTGGGAGTCACCTCTGTGGTAAGTCCTGCCACATACCCATTGCTACAAGGTGTTACCCTCTCATGCCTGTGGACTGCCTTCCATGTAAAGTTGGTTGGTATGCGTGATCCACAGCATTCGTGTCCCATCCCATCCGCATTTTTCTTACGTGTCGCCCTGCCCCTGCGCCAGACCATGGTTCCCTCGCTTCCCTGTGAAAGCAGTACTGGAGTGCATTATGATGTGCATGCGCTTGTCACAACATTGAAGGACCTCCTTACCAAACAGATGGCCAGCCAAGTAACCACCTGAACCAGCAACCATATTTTTGCAGACTCTATACCATTAGGCGTTTGGTTTGTTTAGTGCCCGCCGTGTTTTTTTTTTCTAATTCACCATCCTGAAAGCTACACATTGTACCGTATCTGTTTTCAGATGACAGCATCCTCAGACTTCCGTGTGGTGTTTCAATGAGGAAATGTGGGGCGCTTCACTTAACCATTGATTTGAATGTTCAGTGCAACACATAGAGCGTGCTTGTAAGTTGTAACGAGTCATGACGCGCCTCGTAGGGTTTCCGACAGCAGGTCCCAGGGATCAGGCAGCCGAGGTCAAAGATTGGGCGCCAAGAGCATCCGCGCGTGTTTGGCCTCGGCGGCTTTACTGAACAACTGGAAAATTCGCCCGCATCCATGGCCTGGCATGGGGCACGACTTGTCCCCGCCCTGTGTCTGTGGTCATGGGTCCTGCAGCCTGCTTGCGCAGCTCAATGTGGCACCCAGCAGGTCAGCGGAACACTGTGCAGCTGCAAAGATGGGATGGACATGGAACCACCCAATCCCAGCTCATGGCGTGCGCGCTGGCACCATGCCATACAGATCGCCATGCAGCAAAGTGCGCCATCCCTGGCGCAGGATGGCAAGTCCCTGCGGAGTGCGAGGAGTCTCTTTATAATATATAGATTAACGTGCTCCACGGCCTCCGCTCCCTCGTCGCAACCAGACGGTGACAGATGCATTTTAAAGGCCGCATCGTTTAGCGTCGCCACCATCCATCAGCGTCGTTTGGAATAAATTAAGAATGAGCCATCGCGTTCGCGACAGCGTTTCTCCTCCGTTGCGTGTGTAGCGTGCGAGAGCGACTACCCGAGCGCGGGATCCGATCATCCATCGCCACCACGATGACAAGCGCGCCCGCCGGGAGATGACGCTGCCCGTGTCGCGCCGTGCGGGCGGATACGGACAGCCACAGCGAGCGCGAGAACGCAGGGGTGCGTACAGGCGCGTTAATGGCTGCCTGCGCGACAGCGCCGTGCCGCGACACGTCGCCCAAGCGACTTCCGAACTGGCCGAGCGTGAATGCGGGGGCGGGGCGGCGATGCCGCGGGAGAGCGACGGCGACGGTGGGGCGCATGGGGCGGGGCGATGGCGGGCTTCTGGTGCCCGCTGCTGCCCAGCATTCTCCGCACGCGCGCCCCCTTACTCACATCGCCCACGCGGTGCAGCGCATGCTCTCAGGCACAACTGCAGCGCCGCCTCCCGTAACCCTCGTGGAAGCGTGTCTGTTTCCGTGCCGCAATCTCGTGGAACGATGTCGCCGTGCCACGCGCCCGTCGTGCCATGGCCGCGCGCCTGCGCCCTTGCGCTCCTCCTCCTCCTGCACTGCCTGCCGCACGCACCCCCCCTCGCCGTGCGGGCAGCGCAGGGATGCGCGGATCAGCTGGAAAAGGCGCCGGCGGCGACGGCGGAGGCGGAGGGGCCGGAGGGGTCGGGCTGCATGGGGTGGTCGCACGGGGGATGGGGGGAAGCGTGGGCGGAGGGGGTGCGCGAGACGGCATCGGAAAGAGGCGGTAAAGGCAACCTGGCGTGGCTGCTGTCAGTGCAGCAGCAACAACCACAGACGGTGAGTGGGACGACGCGAAGACATTTCGATCACGCTAATAGTTGCTGCATGCATGCGCCACCACGCACACACGCACGGAGTGCGCTCTGATGCGGTCGGTGGATGCTGGCCCTTCACGTCGCGCTCACGCCGCACGCTCTCATGCGTGCTCGCACGCCGCCTTGCCCTCTCCCCCCGCTGCCCTGCAGGCTGCCAGCACGGCACCCGTGCGCGCACTTGCGGCGCGCAGCAGCAACCAGCAGGTACTCTCGTCTTGCATCCCGCGCCATCATTGACACGCTGCCGCGTTCCCCCCCACTATGATCGCTGTGTGCGTCCCCGCTGTCCCTTCATACGCAACATCTCCGCTGCTCCCGCCTTGCCCGCCCCTCTTCCCCGGCGCAGTTCCTGACAGCCTTCTCCTCGCTGCACCGCGCGCCCGCGTCCACGCCCACCCGCCACCCCCCGGGAGACGCATCTCCGGGATCCGCGCAGCCTCAGCACTCTCACGCCTCCCGCCTCCTCTCCACCGCGCCGACCCACACTCAATCACCCACTCCACCGCCGCTCCCCGCCTCTGCCGCCGCACCCCCCTCATCCCAACCCGCTCCGCTTCCCCTTTCTTCGCCCACCCACTCACCTTCCACTTCCTCCCCGCCTCTTCCCCCTCCTTCCGCTCCGTCGCCTGTGCAGACGGACTCCTCCCCCCCCATATCCTCCCCCCCATTAACCCCGTCCGCCCCCATGATATCACCGCATGTACCCTCCCCACACTCCTCCTCCTCCTCCTCCTCCTCCTCCTCCTCCTCCTCCTCCTCCTCTCCCGCCGCCGCCGCCTCCGCCGCAGCGCCACCATCCACGGTGCCCCACCTCGCATCGCCCTCACCACTCGCCCCATCGCACCACGCCCTCTCCGTCCTCGCGGCTCTCGACGTGTCCTCGCCACCGCCCAGCCACGCGCCGTCGCTGTCCGCGGAGCCCCAGTCCGCGCCCGCCGCGCCTCAGGACTCCGCCACCAGCACCACCAACGCCTCCGCCTTTCTGCACTCCATGCCCTCCCTCACGCCCACCGCCATCCCCTCACCATCGCCGCCCCCACCCTCTCCCGATCCCTCGCCCCCCCCTCCCTCTCCCAACCCTTCACCCCCTCCGCCCTCTCCCCATCCGTCGCCCCCTCCCACGTTTCCGCCCCCTTCTCAGGTACTGCCGTCCCTCGCCTCGCTGCTCCCTCCCTCTGCGCCCTGCTCCATGCATTGCTCTCTCTTCTACCATGCCACCTGTGGATGCCTCGTTTCTGCCCCCTCTGCAACCCCTGCCGTTCCCTTACTTCTCCTCACATGCGCGCCCCCCCCCCCTCCATTTCCCCATGCCTGTACTTCCCTGCACCGCAGCCACCCCCCTCCCCCCCTCCACCAACGCCTGCAGCACCGCCACCAGGTAAGCCCTGCCCCTCCCTCCCGCTGCCTTTACTCATGCACGACTCCTGGCTCTCACACTGCTCTGCTCTCCGCCTCCCTCCTTCTACCGCCCCAAACTCATTGCTCTATTTCCCAATTTGCCCCCTTTTCCCTCCTCCATTTTCCAATGTCACTCGCAGTGTCACCACCATCGCCTCCTCACGACCAGCCTCCGCCAAGTCAACCGCCCCCAGCACCCTCCCCGCCACCCCCTTCACCAAATATCTCGCCCCCATCACCCTCTCCTCCCCCCCCCTCCCCTCCTCCGCCTTCCCCCAATCCGCCCTCCCCTCCTCCCCCGCAACTCGATCCCCCCCCTCCCTCGCCACCACCCCCATCGCACCCGCCACCAACCCCTCCTGACCAATCGCCCCCGCCGGCGCCGCCTCCTCCGGACCCTCCTTCCGCCCCACCCCCTGCCACTCCGCCCCCTGATCTCTCCCCCACTGACGCTCTTCCTCCCAGCTCTCTCCCCCCGGAGTCCTCTCCTCCCCCTCCTCCGCCGGACAGCCCTCCGCCCCCTCCGCCTGTTGAAACCCCCCCGCCTTCCCCAGCAGCGCCCCCCTCGTCCCCTCCCCCCGCGCCCCCGCATTCAAAGCCGAGTACCTTGGAGGAAGTCACCAACCCCCCGCCACCAGAGCACCCGCCCCCGCCTGCCCCCCCTTCTGACACGCGCCCCCCTCGCCCCCCCCCGGTGCAAGCACCCCGTGCCCCGCCCCCTTCCCCCCGTCCCCACCCGCAGCACCAGTCCTTCCCCCCACCGGATCCCCCAGACCATCCCCCCCCCGCGTCTCCCCACCACCCTCCCCCCGTCCCCCCTGTCGTCGCCCCACGTGACCCTCCCTCGGAGCTCCCCCCTCTCGCCCACGCGCCTGGGCGCCGTCACACTCCCTCCCAAGCACCCCCTGTTCACAGACCGCCACAGCCACACCACTCACACTCACAGCCTCCCGCAAAAACATCCAAGGGCAGAACGCGTCCCCCCAAGAAATCAGTTGAGGATGGAGAGGGGAGCGGGAAGAAACCCGCCAAGAGGCAGTCGCCTCCTAAGGAGAGGCGGACACACAAGCACGCGCCCCCCCCACCTCCGCACAAGAGCAAGTCCAAGCACAAGCACCACCACGCACACCCCCCTGCACCTCCGCCTGCCACTGAGCCTGCGCCCTCGCCTGCTGTGCTGGTGGATGGCGCCAGTGCTGCCAGTCCTGATGATGCGGCCCTGCTGCCGCCCCTGCCTCCCACTCCGCCACTCATACTGCCACCACCACCGCCAGACTCACGCCGTAAGTCCCCTTGCTGCTGCCGTTCGGCTGCTTGGCATGGTCAATTGGTTTTGCTTGTTCGTTTGTTTAGATGTCCATCCCATCCTATTCTTCTCTCTGCTCGTTCTGCTCCTCCTGCCCACCTCCGCGGCTCCGCCCCTTCCGCGTGCGCCCCTCACTCCCCACCCACTGCCCCCCTGTGCACGTGGCACTGAGCGGTGCAGACTGCAGGGAGTGTCCGCTGGGCACGGCAGTGAAGCCAGCGAGCGGGCCCACGGACGTGGCATGTGTGTGCGCCGTGCCCATGGTGGTGGGGCTGCGCCTGGCCCTGCCCTTTGACGACTTCCTGCACTCCGTACCGCTCTTCGCCCAGCAGCTCAGTGCGGGGCTACATGTGACGCCGCAGCAGGTGCAGGTGTGGGGCGTGGAGTACGACCGTCAGGGCACGGGTTTTCTGGACACCACGTCGTACGTGCTGCCCCTGCACGGCACACAGCTGCCCGCCTCCCTTGTCGCCTCCATCCGCCGTCGTCTGCTGGGCGGGCACGTGTGGCTGGACCCCGCCCTCTTCGGCCGCTTCCAGGTGCTCTTCATCCTCAACCCCGGCGACCACCTCCCCCCGCCCGCCCTGCACCCCGCCTCCGCGCCCGCTCCCCCTCCCCCGCCCTGGCCCGCCTCGTCGGACGGGTGGGCGCCGCCACAGGCAGGCGGGGGCATGGAGGCGGGGGGCGGCAGCACGGGGCATTCGATGGCGGCGTTGGAGATAGCGCTCTTCATTGTGGCGCCCTGCCTGCTGCTGCTCCTCATGCTCGCCTCCTGCCTCGCCTGGCTCCTCCTCTACCGCCGCCGCCAACACCGCTCCGCCGCTGTTGCCGATGCCGCCACTGCTGCTGCCGCTGCCGCTGCTGCAGGTGCACCGATGGCAGCAGACGTGGCGGACAAGGATGGTGGGCTTCCCGTGGAAAAGGGCCTGGAAAGCATTGGTGAGCCACAGCACGTGCTTCTCGTGAACTCTGTTGCACTCACCGCCCTCCACGCTGTGTGCCTTAAGCAGCTGTGTATGCCTTTCCTGTGTCCCCGCATGTGTTTGCCAATTGATCCCACGGCCGCTTGTGTTTCACACTTCAAATCTACAGATTCCCATGGCCGTGCTAATCCTCCTCTCAACACTTACATCTCTCTCACCTGTACCCGCCCCCCCTTCACCCCCCTCGCCCCACCGGCAGCGCCATCCCAAGCGTGGCCCTCATCGGCCGCCTTCTGCTCGCCCTCGCCCGACGCCCACGCAGCACTGCCGTCGTCATCACTGCCAAGCGAGGTAGCAGGGCTGGGCGTGAGCCTGGGGTTTGCCGGCACCGGCACGGGCCTCAACGCCTCCTCACTCGCCCTGCGCGGACTCGCCACGGCGCCAGCAGGCGCGGTGGTGTTCTCCCTGCTGCAGCTGCGGCGGGCCACGAACGACTTCCATGCGGACAACCTGCTGGGGCAGGGCGGCTTCAGCCGCGTGTACCGTGGCGAGCTGGCCGACGACACCCTCGTGGCCGTCAAGCTGCTGCACTCCCCCGAGGCGCATGGGGACGCGGGGGAGGGGGGTGCAGGGGCCGGGTCGGTGGAGGAGCAGGAGAGGGAGAGAGCAGACTTGGAGTTCATGAGGGAGGCGCAGGTGCTGAGCTGCCTGCACCACCGCAACCTCGTCAAGCTGCTCGGGATCTGTGCCGAGGGCGGGCGGCGCTGCCTCGTGTACCAGCTGGCGGGGAACGGCAGCCTGGCGTCGCACCTGCACGGGGTCATGCGCGAGGTGGCGGGCGTGATGGAGTGGGAGCGGCGCATGAAGGTGGCGCTGGGTGTGGCGCGCGCGCTCTCGTACCTGCATGACGACGCGAGCCCGCGTGTGGTGCACCGCGATGTGAAGAGTGCCAACGTGCTGCTGGACCTGGACTTCTCCCCCCTGCTCTCCGACCTCGGCCTCGCCAAGACCATGCCTCCCGCTGGCCCCGCCGCGCTGCCGGAGCAGGGAGCGGCGGGCGGACAGGCGTCCAGGATGATGGGCACTGTGGGGTGAGTGCGGGGCTCATGCGCGCGTGCCAAGGGCAGTAAGTAGGGAGCAACGGGTGGGGTGCTTTCAGTGGTGGGTGTGGGAGTGAAAGCAGCGTCTGAGCGAAGATGAGGAAAGCGCTGTTGAATCCATTCGCGCCTCATCCTGCCTGCAACCCGCTTCAGCCCATCTCTTGTTCCCATCTTTTTTGTGTTCGTGCCCTCCCTGTGTGTGCCCTCCCTGTGTGTGCCCTCCCTGTGTGTGTGGCTTGCAGCTACGTGGCACCGGAGGTGGCGCTGACGGGGCAGGTGTTGGTGCGCAGTGACGTGTACAGCTTTGGCGTGGTGCTGCTGGAGCTGCTGGCGGGCCGCAAGCCCATCGACCACTCGCTGCCCCCGCCCCACCACAGCCTCGTGCAGTGGGCCTCGCCACTGCTGCTCAGGTGCGCCTTGCATGCACCGAAAAGGCTCGCCGTGCCACAAGCATGGGGGGTGCGATGGGATATGGCATGTGCATGCACAGGCATGGGGTGAAACGGGTAAGAGTGAGAGCATTAGTGTGTCTTCATGGTGTCTCCTCTCCCACCCTGCTCACTCTCATCATGCTGCCGTCATGTTGCCTGCATCGCATCCACCCCATCAGTTTCCACCCATCAGTTTCCACCCGATCAGTTTCCACCCGATCAGTTTCCACCCCATCAGTTTCCACCCCATCAGTTTCCACCCCATCAGTTTCCACCCCATCAGTTTCCACCCCATCAGTTTCCACCCGATCAGTTTCCACCCGATCAGTTTCCACCCCATCAGTTTCCACCCCATCAGTTTCCACCCCATCAGTTTCCACCCATCAGTTTCCACCCCATCAGTTTCCACCCCATCAGTTTCCACCCCATCAGTTTCCACCCCATCAGTTTCCACCCCATCAGTTTCCACCCCATCAGTTTCCAACCCCATCAGTTTCCACCCCATCAGTTTCCACCCCATCAGTTTCCACCCCATCAGTTTCCACCCCATCAGTTTCCACCCGATCAGTTTCCACCCGATCAGTTTCCACCCCATCAGTTTCCACCCCATCAGTTTCCACCCCATCAGTTTCCACCCATCAGTTTCCACCCCATCAGTTTCCACCCCATCAGTTTCCACCCCATCAGTTTCCACCCCATCAGTTTCCACCCCATCAGTTTCCACCCCATCAGTTTCCAACCCCATCAGTTTCCACCCCATCAGTTTCCTCCCCATCAGTTTCCACCCCATCAGTTTCCACCCCATCAGTTTCCACCCCGTTGCACGCCCCCTGAACCTGTCTCCCATGCTCTGCTGCTACCGTCCTGCCGTGTGAGTTCCTGTGAGCAGCAGCGTGGGGGTGAAGCAGGTGGTGGACCCGGCGCTCAAGGGGCGCTACCCCCTGGAGGCCGCCATGCGTGTGGCGGGCATCGCCAGCATGTGCCTGCAGCAACTCCCCGACAACCGCCCCTTCATGACCCAAGTCGTGCAGGTGCGTGCGCTGCCCCTCACATACCAACGGAGGGAAAGGGATGGCAAAGCTGCCCATTGTGTGCCTGTTCCGTTGGTCTGGCGCAGCTCAGCTACATGAATCGTCTCCTCCTCTCCTCGTATCCGCACGTGCCCACCTGCCTCTGTGCCTCGCTGTGTTCCCCTCCCCTGCGGCACGGCAGGCGCTGAAGCTAGTGTACAGGGAGGGCAGCGAGGGCAGTGAGAGTGGCGACGACGATGACGAGGAGTCGTTCGCACAGCCCTCTCACGCCTCCCACCGCACCCCTGCGCCCGCATCCGCTGCCGCCACCAGTGCCGCCAGCGCTGGCATTGGCAGTGAGAGCGGGCGGGTGAGTGAGAGCGATGGCACGAGCATGGGCATGGATGCGGGCATGGAGGCGAGTGAGAGCGCCATGGGCAGTGCGGCCATGACTCTCTCCCCCTCTGACAGGGGCCTCATGCCCAGGCTGCTGTGCATGCGCGTGCACGATCTCGACTACAGGTGCGTGCCCCGCTCACTCTAGTGCTACTGCCTCTCTGCTCATGCCGTTCCACCTGTCAGGGGCGCCTCAATTCTCTTCACTAGAACGGGGCGCTCTCTAATGACTATCTGTGCACCCACTTCCCGGTCGTGTGCGTGCACCGCTGCTGTGCTGTGTGTGTGCAGTGGGGACATGGGGCTGCTATCGCAGGGTGAAAGGGAGCCCAGTGCCGTGCAGGTGAAACACATGCGCCTGCTGTGCCGCTCATGCATAACTGTGCAGCAATGCCATGCTATCCCCACTCCACTCCTGCCTCCATCTTCATGCATCACCTCTGCTCGCCTGCCAGCCACACACCCCTGCATCTTCTTCCCTGCTGCCTCACACCTCTCTCACACTGCTCTCTACCCCCCCAACTGCGCATCTGCTCCCGTGCTTGTGTGTGAGCAGTCCCTCGCAGGCACATGCCCCCGCACCACCTACTCTCACCTCAGGTCAGATTAGACGCCTTCACTTGCTGCCCCCCTCCACCCACCTGTGTCTTGCACAAGTCGCAATCCACGTCTCCATGCTTGCATGTCCCCCTCCATCACGTCACTCCTGCATGTGCCCTCTGCAACTACTCTCCTCTCCACTGCCTGCCTGTACCCACCACCCCCAGGACCTCCTTGTCGGGGCCGCCCGTGCTCGCAGCCCCACCAGGCACCCCTCCCCACGCCTCACCTTCCACCTCCCCCCCTCACCTCCCCACGGACCAGTCCTCGCCCTCGCATTCGCTCCTGCCTGACCGCACACTAAGCCAGGGAGCCTTATCCTCTGCTCGCACCATGAGCCACGGAGCTCTGCATTCGGGCGAATTGGATTGATGCATGCATGAAGGGTCTATCTAGGTGGCTGATGGTATGCTTTAGGCTTCGCTGCCCGGCATGAGAGTCAACCTGTGGCTGCTCATGGTACCTGGGTGCGGCTGGTCACACCCTATGTGTCTTATGTGTGCTTATGCATGGTGTTGCAATGTGTGTATCTGTTAGTAGTGCATTCCCTATCTGCGTGCTCTCTCCACTCCAATGATGTCACGGCTCTTGGTATGCGTCATCCTTGCATGCATGTGTTAGGAATGTGATGTGTCACCATGGTCAGCAGCATAGTGAGCACATTGTTTATAGCTAACGTTGTAACAGACATGTGTACGGTAATGAAGATACACTCGAATTCCCAGGGCTGTTCACCTTCCGATTGGGTCGCCTCGCCATGAATGACCACTGCAAAGTGGTTGCAGCACATCCCAAGGGTTCGCCCCACGCGTCTATTGGCTGATCACGCCTGCTTGCCCGCTTCGGAGTCCAGGCGAGGCACGGCCGTCAATGGGAACCCACGCTCGCCTCGCTCTCCCCCGCACACATCGCTGGGCGTCGTCCCACGCGTGCAGATCTCATCGCCAGTAGACCTGCCCGCCACTGCCACTCCTGCCTCCACTCACCCCTTCGCTCCTCCCCCGTGCCGTCACGCCATGGCTGCCGGCCGCTCGTGGACCCACTGCCGCCTCGCGGGGCTCGTGCTGCTCGCCGTGTGCTGCCACGTGCACGGCGCCGTCGCCTTGGCGCCCCTGGGCCGCGCGGAGCAGTCGGAGATGCGCGAGACAGCGCGCTCCATGTGCGCTCCCTAGCCTCCCGCCTCTACTCGCCCTCGCTCCCTCTCATCTCCGTCGTTCCGTGCTCAATTCACAGCTCTCGCATTCTGTCGCGAGTGCCGCCATGTTCGGAGCGCGCGCTCGTAATCCTTGTGTTGCGGCCCCATGCGCTCCCGTTGGCTCCCCTTTCCTCCCCACCCCTGCTCATGTGCGTCGCCTCACGTGGGGTGGCGGGCGGCGCAGGTTCTACCACGCGTACGACAACTACATGCGCTACGCCTTCCCTGTAACTCTCCGCCCTTACCGCCCCGCTCTCCCTCTCCCCCGCCTCACGCTCTCCTCATCTCCTTCCCCTTCCCCCCCTCAACCCCCCCTCCCTCCCCCACCCACCCGCCTCCCCTGCTTCTTTCCAATAAACGCCGCAATTCTCCGTCTCCGCTACCTAGAACGTCCCTTGCTCCCTCGCCTCGCCCCCCCTCTCCTCCTCGCCACGCATCTCACCGCCCTCTCATGGTTGTGCTGGCGGGAACGCGCGCGTGTGTGGGCGGTGCGCCATGATTGTGTGTTCCCCTCCCCCACCCATGCGTGCGCAGCACGACGAGCTGAAGCCGCTCTCGCGCTCCTACACCGACTCGCTGGGGGAGCTGGGCAACCTCCAGGTGTGCTCTGCTCGTGGTGGACTCGTGTGATGGGGGAGTGGGGTAAGGGGTGACAGAACACAGATGGGGAATGGGGATGGGACAGAGAGAAAGTTGGGTAAGAGATTCATTCGCTTCATATCATTTCCCCTCGTTTTTGCATTCCCGTCTGTTGGTGGCACCAGATGCAGCACCTATCGACCAACTACAATGGAAGCGCACTCACCCTCATCGACTCGCTCTCAAGGTGCTCACCTCACCTCCCTCCACGTGCCGCCCCGCGCCCCTCGATGCTGCTCACACGGCCCTGCTGCCATCCGTGCTCACCCTCTCCTCCTCCTTTCCCCATGGCACGCCACCTTATTTCAACTCCCTCATCATCCCTTCCATCCGCTCCACCCCTTGCCTCTCCCCTTCTCACCCAGTCCCTCTGCACGCACCTCCCTCTCCCCCTCTCCCCCCCTCGCGCCCCCCTTCCCCCCCAGCCTGGCGGTGCTGGGCAACGTGAGTGAGTTCCAGCGGGCGGTGCGCTGGCTGGCATCATCGCTCTCCTTCCATGCCGACGTGCGCGTCAACACCTTCGAGGTACACCGCCCCCTGCCCGCACCTCCCTGCATCCGCTCATGCGCACGGGCCCCGTCTCCTCCCTCCTGCTGCCTCTCTCAATCGTCCAGTGCCCACCCCGTGTCCCCCTGCCCCCCTGTGGTGGCGGCAGTGCAACATCCGGCTGCTGGGAGGGCTGCTCTCCGGCCACCTGCTCGCACAGCACCACTCTCTGCTCCTCCACCCCCCGCCGCCCTCCCCCTCGCCCTCCTCTCGGGGGGCAGCTGGCAGCAGGGAGGGAAGAGAGGGGGAGATGGAGGAGGGGGCCGAGGGGCATGGAGCGTGGGCATACAGGGAAGGGCGCGCAGCTGCAGAGGGGCACGGTACAGGGGCCGCAGCAGGGGACGAGCAGGAAGAGGAGCGGAGGAGTATGGATGAGGAGGGAGAGGGAGTGGGGGCGGGAGTGGAGGCAGAGGGGAGCGAGGGGGAGGGGGGGTCAGCGGCGTGGTACCGGGGCGAGCTGCTGGTGCTGGCAGAGCAGCTGGGGCGGCGCCTCATGCCCGCGTTCAACACGCCCACGGGCATTCCCTACGCGTGGATCAACCTCAAGGTCATGCCCGCTATTCACTCCTCATGGGGGGGACAGGCCAGGGAATACTTGCTGTGGGTGTGGCTGCTTGTGGGGCAAGAGGGGGATGGGGCGGGCATAATGAATGAGGCTAGTGCTGTGCCTTTCGTCCCTTGCCCATTGTCCCCTCTCACTCGTTTCCAACGTTCCGTACTGCACTCTTCGTCTTCCTGCCTTCACGTTCCCCTTTTACCACTCTTCACTTGTCTGTGTTGGTCATTCAACCTCCATCGCCCTGCCCTTTCCCGTGCCCGCTTGCCCTCCCGCCCTGCCATGTGCTGCAGTACGGGGTGAGGGCGGGTGAGACCACGGAGACCAGCACGTCCGGCTGTGGTCAGTCTCTTCACCCCCTGCCCTCACTCGCTGCCTCTCCGCCTCACCTCCTCCTTTCTCTCGTGTGGCCTTCTACCTTCCCACACTTTTCATTCTTGCTCGCACCCTGCTTTGTGTTCCATCATATGCGTACCCCATTATACGCTGCTCCCTTTCACGGCACATCACGTTCACCCTACTGCACGTCAGCTTTGACTGTACAAGCGCACCTCATTTCTCCATTGTCTATCCTTCCCGTCCCTTCCCCCCTCCCTCCCAGGCTCGCTCATCCTGGAGTTTGGGCTGCTGTCGCGCCTCACAGGCGATCCGTGCTTTGAGCGGGCAGCGCAGGGGGCGCTGAGGCGGGTGTGGGGCATGCGGTCGGCGGTGGACCTGGTGGGGACGACGCTGGACGTGGCGAGTGGGCAGTGGGTGGAGGGCAACACGGGCATTGGTGCAGGAGTGGACTCCTTCTACGAGTACCTGCTCAAGGCCTATGTGCTCTTTGGCGACCCCGACTACTGGCACATGTTCCAGGCCGCCTACACCGCCACCCAGCGCTACCTGCGCACACCCCACCCCTCCTCCTGGTAACCACCCTCCGGGGCTCTGGGGTTGTCATGATGACCGGGTGTGTGCCATGGGTGCATGGTGGGCGGGTGGTGTGCATGTGCTTGGTCTTCATCCTGACGCGCCCTGCCATGCGCCCATGGTGGTGCCCTGCAGGTACCATGATGCACACATGCACACGGGCAGCCCCACCTATCGCCAATTCGCCAGCCTCCAGGCCTTCTGGCCCGCCCTGCAGGTGTGTTTTCCTCCCCGATCTGCTCTGCCCAGCTCCCCTCTGCTCTGCTCCACTGCATCTTCCCACCACCACTCCTTGCCCCTCGATCCTCGCCCGCCGTGCCTCTAGTGCACTGCGCCCATCGTCTCTCCCATCCGTCCCTGCACCACACTGCCTTGTGCGCCCTGCAAAGGTGCTGGCAGGTGACGTGGCAGCAGCCAATGCGACGCACCGGCAGTTCTTCACAGTGTGGGAGAAGTTCGGCCTGCTGCCTGAACGGTGACCCTCGCCTGCCCTCCCTGCTCTGCTGCCTGCTCCATGCCATGCAACGATATGTCAGGCCATGCCACGCTATGTCAGGCCATGCCACGTCATGCCCCATACATCTCTCTCCTGTGCTATGGTGGGCGTCATGACGTCCTGAATGCCTTGGATGCACGCTCATGCATGTTCTCCTGTCTCCCACTCCTCTTGTCGCGCCTCCCTTCTCCCCACGCGTACCCCACTCTCGCCCTGGGTTGGGTGCGCGCAGGTATCTGTTTGACATGGGGGTGCCGCACCCCACGGAGCGCTACTACCCGCTCAGGCCCGAGCTCGCCGAGTCCACCTTCGCCCTCTACCACGCCACCAAAGGTCGCCCTCCCTTCGCATCCCCTCCGCCTCTCACTCACTGCTCCGCCCCCCTCTTCCCCCTGCTTTCTCCTCATTGCCCTCCCCTCGTTTGTCCAGCCATTCAGTGGCTTTGCGTTCTTCTCACGTGTCTCCCTCCCTGCTCCACTTGCGTCCCCCATCACTCACCCACTGTGCCATGCCATTCAATCTCTTCCGATCTCCCTCTCTCTACGTATGTCTTGCGAGCATGTCTTGGGGGGGGGGGGGGAATGTGGTCTTGAGGTGTGGGGGGCTGGTGCTGGATGGGGTTGAGGGTGGATGTTTTGTGTGCATGGGGCTGAGAGTGGGGTGGATGGGGTTCATGGAGGGAGCAGACCCATGGTACCAGCGGGTGGGGCAGACGATGCTGCGGGACTTGAATCGGCGCACGAGGGTGGCGGGGGGCTATGCGAGTGTGAGGGACGTGACCACGGGCGAGCTGGAGGACCACCAGCACTCCTTCTTCCTTGCTGAGACGTACACTCTCCTACCGCCCCCTCCCCACTCTATCTTTCACCCAACTCCCTCCTTCCCTACCACGTTTCTCCGTCTTGCTTTCAACTCGATTTCCCTCTTCCTGTTTGCTAACTCATTTGTTGTGCACGTGGCGCTGGCACCAACACGTGGGTGAGCAGGTGCAAGTACCTGTACCTGCTGTTTGACGAGTCGGCACTGGAGCGGGGCAACATCCACAACTACATCTTCTCCACCGAGGGCCACATCCTGCCCGTGCTGCCACAGTGGCACCACCCTCCTCCTGCTCCTCAGGTCCGCCTTACCCTGTGCCCCTCTTCAATCTTGCTCTCATGCGCGCTACCGCAGCTGTCTGGATGTGGTGCTCACATGTGTTGGTGGTGTGTGCTGTGCATGTGTGCGCCCCTGCATGCCTCCCTGCAGACATCCCCCGAAGGACAAACCTCAGGTGTGAGCAGCAGGAAAGGCGGGTGCTCGGGTGGGTGCAGGGCGAATGGCCATGTGGGTAGCACGACAGAGCAAAGGGGTGCTAGTGCTATGGATAGGATGGTGTGTCATAACTTCCAGTATGACTGGTCTCGATCATCACAACAGCAGCAGCAGCAGCGAGAGGAGAGCATTTGTCACGTGCCTGATATACGGCCGGACCACAGATGCTTGCAGGACATTGACTGTGGCATCCATGCTGCTACTTGTAGCCTACGAACATGCAGCCCTGCTCGCTATTGCTCCTGATGTTACTCAGTGTTTCTATCTTTGATGTGCTTTTTAGAGCCAAAGCATGCGATACTTGATTCATCAGAGCTATACCTGTTGCAGGAAGACACGGATTCTACTTGGGTGGGTCAATAAGTAAACAGAACAGAGTATTGCTGTGGGCACACAGCCAGCCAGTAAATCTGCAATGCAATATGGAGCACCATGTGCTTGTTGGAGGCAAGTCAGATTACAATTTACACATTACCTACCATTTCATATAGCGCTACTCGGAAAAGCTTCCTTGCTACGGTACCTGTAGCCGGGCCAGGCGTTTCAGCCAGCAGAACGTGCATGTACAGCTATGAACATACTGTGTCACACGCACGCATATACCCTCTAGATCTTGGCCACAAATGTTTTCATACACCTCGGACTACGGTAACAATTGGTCAGTAAAGGTTTTGACTCTATTACTATTCCTACCATTATACCATACACCATGAGTAATTTGACACGCTTTTACATTGTCCATTCACTTAGTCCACTCCATTGTTTGTGTGAACGAGCAGTAAGTGTTGTGCATAGCCTAATTAAGGCAATATGACATATTCCGGTTGCTTGTTTTTTATCAGATGGTACGTTTTACCTTTTGCGCACTGTGCATCAATTATTTCATTGTCTAAATCCATTTGCCATGTCCACTAAACGTGTTTTATAGATATCCACATGTCCTACTGATTCTGTATTACGCGTTGGTGGTGTAGCTTGTCGGATATGTGTTTATCTGCGGGGAAGACCCCAGTGCCGAACTGGTCTTCCGATTCCCGCCTAATTTTGAAAAGGCGGTTTGCTGAAGAGTGGCAGTATGATCTCGTGGTTGCCAGAGCCCTAGGTTCCCGCCATGCGACGCGTCATCTCCTGCCCTCATCTGCTGTCGGGTGCTGAAGAATCTGAACTTCCGATGGACTCCGAAAAAGCAAGTCAGCTGCACCAATTGCTATCACACCCTGCTTTTACTTTACTCCGATTGTTAGCCCTCTCCGCTGCTTGTCTAATCATGCAAATCGCGACATGTCACTGGCAATACGTAGCTGAGTACTCATCAAACAACGCGTAACACCAAGCCTTCCTGGCTGACGCCTTCTCCAGCCGTATCAGCATACTCGCTTCAACATGGCGCAGTTAATTCTCGACAAGGAGAACCAAGTCCCGGTAGCGATAGCAAGTAGGGTTAAGGTAGAAGAGAGATGTGGGAATTTGGGTCCGCTGACAAAGGGAGCAGAGTCAGCAGCCTCGTGCGACTCATTATCTGCTTCTCGCACTCCGCTCGCATGTAGCGTTCCAGGGTCGCAAGTTGGCAAAGACATGACATCGTGGGAAGCAGCATTATACGAGCACGTTAGAAGCATTGTACGAGAGCAGCGAGCACTTCCTGACAGTAAACCGATTCGGCAGCGGAAAGTGCTATTGTCAAACATTCGCAAGGCGCCAGAGTCTCCAACTGCTTGGCTGGAATTTTTATTGAATGAAGAGAGAATAGAACGATTTAGACAGGACGCACGAGGAGCCGGAGGCCGCGAGGGATCCGTCGAGGTCCTTCAGTCGCTGTTCAGTCTCTTCGTTCTAGCCAGAGGGTTGATCCCGCTTGCCACTTATCGCCACCACGATGCGTTTGTTCGCATATGGCTGGAAAGTGCAAGGAGGTAAGCGAGCTCTCAGGCTCCGCTTTGTCCCGTTGCACGCATCTTTTCGTGTCCGTACGTCGCAAGATTTTGATGCATGTGCGGTTTTGTAACGTTGCAGGCAGCCCACGGACGAGGAGGAGCGCGAGACGTACAAGCACATGAAACACCACCGCATAGGAGATCGGACTGCGAGGCGGTACATCCAACAAGCCCGCTTCGAACTGCGTAGAGGAGGTAAGGACTGCTGAAAGTCTCGTGCCGCGTGATGCGTACAGTCTCTTTGCTCACGCCCTACTCCCACCGCTACTGCAGGCAACCTGACCAAGGCGTTGGCTTTGCTCTTTCGAGGAAGGACGTGCAAAGCAGAGCCCGCGGGGGACATCGAGAACTGGGTTGCGGAGTTACAGAAGCTGGATAGGAGCGTCTCTCTCCCGAGCCATCCACGGCGGGAAATTGGCGAGGATGAGTACACGTGGTGGCGGTCGCTCAACCTGCCGCTTTTAGGCCTCACACCGCCGCAAGGTCCCGAGTCGCTGCACCTAACGGCGTCAACACCGTCGTCGTCTCGCACCGTTACTCCCTCCACCGGCACCTCCGCGCGTCCCCCATACCCATGGACCCGTGCCGCTCACGCCTCTCCTGCAGCCACGCCCGGCAGCAGCCCCGTGAGGTCGTCCTCGCGTGCGATGCTTCCCCGCAGTCCGCGCCGAACTGACGACAGCAGGGGAAGCACTAGGTGGCGCGGGTCGGTCCAGCGCAGCCCGTTTGCTTCGCTGCCCCTTTCCTCGGCCAACGCACCCGCCGCGACCGCCACTCCTCGTGCCGAGATGCCTGCCACTCCGTTTGCTGAGGCTCCCGCTGTTCAAGCTCTTCCTTTCCGCGCCGCAAGCAGCAACGCGGGTCCATCTCAAGCGAGTGTTAGCGCGGCGAGTGATCGCGACGCGTGGAGCCATGGCGGGAGCCGCCTCGTGACGCCGCAGTCCAAGGCCAAGGATGGGACGCCAGTGAGACCCCACGAGGCGGCACGTGACGCGCGCATGCAGGCGGGGGTGGCGGAGCCAAACACAGTGCCGTGTGCGGTCAAGTCGCCGCTGGCAGGTGAAGCCATGTGCGCGTACCGCGCGCTCAGGAGGAAACGCGCAATGCAAACGGAGCAGGCCGCGGTTACCACGGACACGGGGACGGCGGAGGCGAAGGAGCGCGCACGTGGGGATGTGACGCCGACTGGCGCGATGAAGCGCAAGGTGGACGACGGGTGCGGCAGCGCGGGGTCACGGGAAGCGGTGGAGGGCAGTGCGCGGAAGATGGAAGGTGCGTGAGGGACTGCAGGCTGGTGAGATGATGCTCAGTTGAGGCGGCTCGCAGTGGCCACCCACCATGTGCTCTCACCACGTGTGACTCACACTCGTTGCTCCCCTTTCCCCATCCCTCGGCCACCAGGCACCCTCGCCATGCCCATGCCCCCTCCCAAGCGCGCAAGGCATCACGATCAACCCCCCGTGCACTCGCCGTTCCCCCCCGCAATGGCCTCCGCATCCGCGCGTGGCCCCGCCGCCCCTGCGCCCTGTGCTGCGACGCCACCTGCCGTGGAGGCCGCTGGCGCATCGCATCGGGGAGCGCCAATTGCGTGGCAGAGGGAGGAGCGCGCGGGGGGGGCGGGAGCGGGGAGCGAGGCAGAGGATGTGGAGATGGCGGACGCCATGGACGAGGACGCCACTCCCCCCGCCGCGGACCAGCGCGGCGGGCCGCACGCCGAGAGGAAGGAGGATGAGCGGCGCGGTGCGAAGGAGCGGGAGGTGGCGGGGGCGCGTGACGATACGTCGGGCGCAGGTGGAGGGGGCGCAGCTGCGACTGGTGCAGTGGTTCCATGGCGCAGCGAAGCGGCGGGAGCAGGGGGGGAGGGGACGGGGAGCGCGGATGCGAGGGGCGGAGCGGTGAGGGAGGAGGAGGGCGGGGTGTGGCTGAACGGGCGGTGGTACAGCAAGGTGAAGGTGGCGGGCAAGGGCGGCAGCTCCGAGGTGTTCAAGGTGGTGGCACGCGACGGGCAGGAGTTCGCGCTGAAGCGCATCCGCGCGGAGGGCGGCGCGATGGAGGAGTTCAGGCAGGAGATCTCCATCCTGACGCGCCTGCGCGGCCACAGGGGCATCATCCACCTCTTCGACTCCGCTGTGAGCGCCGGGAGAGGGCTATGGGGGGGCGCGTGTGTGTGGGTTGGCTGGGGGAAGTGTGAAGGGCACCATGGCCACGTGTGGTGCTGCTGTCGGGTAGCGCTGCCATGCGCCTCCGCAATATTCCAGGTTGCGCGCGCCAGGGGTTCTCATTTGTTGTCCCCGTGCCCTGGACTCGTGCGTGAGCGTGCAGGTGTGCGAGGGCGAGCAGGCGATCTACCTGCTGCTAGAGTTCGGCGAGATCGACCTGGCGAAGAAGCTCGCCAAGCTGCACAGGGAGTCCGACCTTCCGCACGCCGCCCCCGCCGTGCTCGCCACCGGATGCAAGATCGACGAAACCGTTCTGCGACACTTCTGGCAGGTACGCTGCTAGTGCGCGCGCACCCTCGCACACACACACACACACAGGCGCACTCACACATGCACATACACACCCACTCACTCACACACGCGGGCACACACACACATGTCCGTTGGCTCGGCAATGCACATTCCCTTACGACTACACGTACACAGAAGAGTGTGTGTGTGCATGGTTGTGCGTGCAGGACATGCTGAGGGCGGTGCAGACGATCCACGCGGCGCGCATAGTGCACGCGGACCTGAAGCCCGCCAACTTCCTCATCATCGAGGGCGACCTCAAGCTCATCGACTTCGGCATCGCCAAGGACATCCCCAACCACACCGCCCACATCTCCCGCCATGGCTGTGTCAGTCCCGCTCCCCACTTCTCTCCCTCTACCCACCATCCCATGTGAAGCACACACTCTCCCTTAGAAGCTGCTTCCACCCTTCATTCCAGCACTCACTGCCCCCACTGATGCAGCTATAGTGCTGGCCCTCCATCTCACCATGGTTCTGCGCTGTGGTGTGCTGTGCTCGTGCAGGCGGGCACGGTGAGCTACATGTCACCCGAGTCCATCATGGGGCAAGACACGGACGCGGACGCCGAGGCCGCCACGAGGCCCACGGTGAAGATGGGGCGTGCAGCGGATATCTGGTCGCTGGGGTGCATCCTCTACCTCATGGTGTACGGCCGCACGCCCTTCCAGCACATCCCCGGCTGGGGCAAGCTCAAGGTGACTCCTCCACCTACGCATCAATCACGCACACATGCCATGCCATGCTGCCATGCCCGTATTGTTCCCGCCACCCACGCATCAATCACGCACGCATGCCATGCCATGCTGCACGTGCCAGACGCATGCACCAGGCTGATGCATCTGTACCTTCACCCTCCCCCCTCTGCTGTGTATGTGTGGTGCGGTGTGTGGAGCACGGCAGGCCATCTGTGACGAGTCGTGCACCATTGACTTCCCCCCAGTGGCCAACCCCCATCTGCTGGACACCATGAAGCGCTGCCTTGTGCGCAACCCCGCCCACCGCCTCACCATTCCCCAGCTCCTCGCCCACCCCTTCGTCTCCATCTCCAACCTCCACGCCCCGCCCGCTCTGCCGGCTCTGCCCGCTCCGCCTGCTCCTGCCCTGCCTGCGCTGCCGCCTCCTGACGCCACTGCTGCTGCTGCTGCCATAACTGCTGCAGCTGCTGCAGCGGCTGCTGCTGCTGCTGCTGCTGCCACAACTGCGGCGGAAGGTGGGGGGTCCCAGGCGAGCAGTGTGAGCGGTGGTGCAAGTGCAGGGGCAGGGGGGAATGGCATCAGTGAGAAGCTGCTGCAGGTGAGAGATGTGACGCACGCACTCCCTCTTGTGCACCCACCACTTTTGTGTTGCCACATTGCGTCCTGTCGAGCAGCACCATCCAACCCTTAGCAGCGACCGCCTGTCTCTTGCACACCATGCATCAGCGCATCCCACTTGGCATTCCTCATGATGGCGCTGCTCGTGGTTCGGTTGTTTGCATGATGTGCAGGACATCTTCGCACAAGTGGCCAAGGCCGCAGGCTCCAACCCAGCGGCCATTGGGCTGGCAACACAAGAGATCCTGAAGCAGCTGGCGTCGGGCAAGGTGAGCTCGTGCACACGTGCATGCCGCACATGAATGCAGTAGCCACATGCACTCAGAAGCCCTCACTCAGGCTGCACTCACCTGTGCTTCTCCATTCATCCTTGCACTTAAACTCGACGGAATCTCACACGCTTCTCTGATTTCTTCCTCCCTCATCGTCGCTGTGCATGTGTGGGAATGCATCAGGCGGAGGGTCTTGACATCCAGGAAATCTTCCGTGCAGCAGGCGCATTCGCCCCTCCTGCCGCCCCACCTGCCCCTCCACCCAAGAAGCCCCCACCACCCCCTCCACCGCCCAAGAAAGCACCTCCTCCGCCCCCACCCCCACCCGGCAAGCTTGGAGGCAAGGCAGCGCCGTTGCTAATCAAGAAGGGTATGAAGCCCAAGGCTGGCGGGCCTGCTGGACCTGCTCCTGGTGACCTGGCCGCTGCTGCTGCCGCTGCTGCCAGACGAAGGGCTGAGGGCGGGGCCGTGAGGATGAGGCCCCTGGGCGAGAAGAAGGAGGAGGGCGCAGGGAACATGCCCACTCTGAGGTCAGGGTTGAGGAGGGGTGGCGGGGGGCCAGGGGGGCGGGGAGGGCTGAGCACAGACCAGCTGCAGGCTGCGATTGAGACGAGTAGGGCAAGGTTGCGACCAGTGAAGAGGAGCGCTGATGGCGCAGCGGAGAAGAAAGAGGAGGGCAAGGAGGGCGGTGAGAAGAAGAGTAGTGCAGTGCCGTGGGAAGGCATATTAAAGAAGGGGCTGGAGGGCAGAAAGAAGGCAAACAAGGACGATGATGACACCGCTGTGTGGGAGTGAGCGAGGGAAGGTGTGCAAAGATGCTGCCATCAGTCAATGATCCACTGACTGCTTTTTAAACCACTCTGCTAGTGCCGGGTATATGAAATTCATCTTAGATGTATGATAGGTACCGTAGGTAGCTTGGAAAGACTGAGAGCCCTGAAGCCATGTTACAGTAAACAGTGGGTTATTGGTCAAGTGCATGCTGTTTGCGGGTACTTTACACACAAACGTATGGCCATGAGTTTGAAATTCCTAACGCTGGAGTACACACTACGTATTCATTGCCTTACATATTGAGCTCCAGATGAAACCCCTTCAGATACTAATCAGTCGCACTAAGATAAGCATGCATCGAAGGCATAGTAGTAGCCCGTGCTTCATCCACACCCATGCAACATTGCAGGTGTGCGGAGGAGAGGGCGGGCAAGCGGGCGTGTGCACGGGGCGGAGGCGCTATGCAGTACCCAGGTACTCCACGTCAAATATGAGGTCCGACCCCGGGGGGATGCGACACACGCCTGATGCTCACACGCAGCATGGGGGCCGTGCGCGTGAGAGAGTAGGGGCACGAGGAAGGAGAATAGGAGTGAAGTAAGTGTCACATGAGATAACTGGGAGCAATGAGGTGAAGGAAAGGTGTGGCGATAGGTGTCGTGGTTTGGAATGAAGTTGTGACGCACAGGAGGTGCAGAGCAGACGCATAAGAGGCAAGCATTTAGTGCATGAGGGAGGCAGCTCACCTCCCCTGCATCCTGCCCCTCTGCTACCATAGGCGAGGTCCGCTGGGATGCGCAGTGTGCGCTTGCCCCCTGCCACACACACAGACACAGACACGTGCACAGCATGGCACAGGGCAGCTTCAATGAGTGACGGGAAGAGAGAAGGAGAGAGAGTGCGAGAGAGAGATGAGAGCAGGGCAAACCGATGAGGGGGAGGGGATGGGGTTGACTAACCTGCTTTCATGGGCGGGATGCCTGGTCCGCCCAGAATGCCCAGGTCCCACCCTCGAATCACCTGCCGCACCACACTCACACACACCACCAACGCAGCCACAGAGAGGAAGGGAGGCGGCGGGGTAAGAGGTGGGTGCACACGGCGCTACCGCACAGTAGGAGAGAGGCCAGGGCAGCACAGTATGGGTGGGAGAAGCAAGAGTGGTCATGCAATGATTGGGTGTGCTGTGCAGGGCACTGACCTGCCCCACGCCCACGCGGAACACCAGCGGGCGCCCGCGGTCGTAGCTGCTGTCGAACACCACGCCTGACAGCAGCCGCCCCGCGTAGTGCGCCTAAAGGGACACGGTTGCAGGGCACAAGGGGGGACGGGACGGGTTGTTGGCAGAAGCACGGGCAATGCCGTTAGCGTGTGTGTTGTACGAAACATTGCGACACGATCACACGAATCGGTGACTTGTGCCAAGCCTCCTCTTTGCCTGCATCGCAGAGACGCCGCACGCATCTTCTTAGTGCGCGTGCCAGCATCCCCGCCCATGGAGGCACACCTGGATGCGCGTGCCGGCGCTGGCCTCGTCGCCCGCGCCCTCCACCTGGTCGCAGAACTGCAGCCCCGACGGCGTCTCCTGCAGCTCGCACTCCGCCGCCTGCGCCGCGCCGGCCGCGCCGAGACTTGCGGCGGAAGCTGCGGCGAGAGCGCCGATTAGCAGCGAGCGGCGGTCGCTCAGGGCGGGAGCGCTGCTGAGGGGAGCTGGCGCGGGGAGATCCGCTGATGCTGCGCGCACGGGCTGTGGCGCTCGAGGGGAAACTCCCAAAGGGGCGAGAGCGGCGGGGCGGGATAGAGGGAAGAGGGCAGTGGCGCGCATATGGGGAAGATCGGCGGGGCGCAAGCGCGCGGAGAGCGCGCCAGGGACGATGGTGGTGGGTGGCGCGAGCAGGTGCGAGGCGGCCATGGTTGGCGCTGCGGACAGCACGCTGTGCGCGCGACAGGCGGCGACACGAGAGCGGAAAATCAGCCGCACTCGCGCAGTGGGGCAATGCTGGCAAGGCGAGCGAGAGCGTGGGGTGATGTGAACGTTTGGAGGGAGATGTGGGATGAATGAAAAGGCAGCTGTTTGCACCGCCCCAACCTGCCAAATGTAACCGAACCCAAAATGTCTTCACGGGTTGCATTGCATCAGCATGGGCATCCACCGACACCACACATGTGGCACTAGCGCCCATGGCCATGGTGCCACCCAGCCTCGTGTCCCACAGGCACAGACACAGACACCCACACCACCGGCAGGCATCGCGGCCAGCACACCCCACGGATCGTCGCTTGAATTGTCGCACGGCGTCCTCGTAGCTTCGTCGCATCGACGCCTTGATCGTCGAGTGCCCCGCCGCACACGATGCGCCCCGCAGGTCCTCGCGTTCGCCGTCCGCCGTGACGCCCAGCACTGCCCGCCGTGACGCCCGCGCGCGCCGCCCACAAGCTACGCGCTTGTGCACACTCGCCCGTCCAGCCACGTCAGCAGCAGCACGAGCCCCTCGCACTCCGTAATTGTCCCTCGCCGACGGGCGTCGGTAGTTGTTCCGCGGCCCCTGGAGGCCGCAATTCAGCACATGGCTGCGGGCTCGCCGTCTCGCACGCCGCCGGATGCGGTCGACGCACCACCGCAGCCGGCAGAAGACCCTCTTCGCGCGCTGCGACCCTTCAAGCCGCCTTCCGCCTCGGAGCCGCGCGAAGACGGCGTCGCGCTGGACAGCGCTGCGGTGCGGCGCTCCCCGCGATGGACGGCGGCGGGCGTGGGCAATCTTGCGCTGCTGGCGGTGTGCTTCGCGCTGGGGTGGGCGGCGCTGTTCGTGCAGGTCGCCACCACCACCGTCGCCGCCAGGCAGTGGGGCGGCACCGCCTTCAGCACCGTGCCTTACGGTGCGTCTCCGCCGCTCACGGCGTGCGTGATAGAATCCTCGCGATCAGCGCGTGTTGCGGTGGACCTCGCTGCTCTCCCCTCTTCACCCGCTCGCTCACTGCTTTCTGCCCCTCCCGCACCCCGTCCCCTCTCTCTTTCCCCCGCTCCCAGGCGTGTTAGCGGCGGCGCATGCTCTCTGGGCGCTCCCCGCGCAGCTGATCATCCGCGCATCGCGTTCCGCGCGCCCCTCGTTCATCGCGGGGGGCGCGCTGGGCGTCCTGGGGAACGCGCTCTTCGCGGTCGCTGCTGCCCTCGCGCACGACTCCCCTTCCTCCTCCTCCGCCTCCCCCGCACCCCCCACGCAGCCCGCCCCCATGGCGCTGCTGTGCGCGGGCGCGCTATTCGCGGGGCTCGCCAATGCGTACATCAACTTCCTGCGCTTCGAAGCCGCGCGCTTCGCACCCTCCGCCGCCCACCTGCCTACCGCGATCTCCGCCGTGGTGGCAGGGGGCGTGGTGGGCGGCGGCATGGGGCCCATCATCAGCTGCGTGACACGTGGCGTGATCCCAGGCCACGAGTTCCTGGCGACGTACCTGGTGTCGTGTGGACTGTTCCTCCTGGAGATGCTGCTCGTCGCTCTCATCCCGCTCCATGGGGGGGGCGCCACACGCGCACTCCACCACGGCACGCGCGGGGACAGCTGTGGTAGCACTGGTGATGGTGCAGGGAGCGCGAGGGGAGACAAGGAAGAGGGTGGGCTTGGGGACGGCTTGGGTCGGGTTGAGGATGGAGGCTGTCAGGAGGAGGGAGGGCGGCAGGAGGGGGAGAGAGCGGTGATTGTGGGGGAATGGGATGGGCGAGAGAGTGGAGAGGGCGGAGAAGGCGCAGGAAGTGTTGGCAAGCTCAAGAGCAACAGCAGGTGTGAGGCCGAGCAGGACAGTGTGGGTGCAAGCAGGGCGGGTGGGTGGTGCTGCGCTGGTGCCGTGTCCGAGGGGCGAAAGAAGGGCGGAGGGAGGGTGGGTGACGGGCATGCATGTAGCAGCGGGGTTCATGCGGTGGAGGGGGGAGGAGAGGTGCATGGCAGCATGCAGGGCGAGCGGGATGATGCACGGTGCACGGGCATGGCAGATGGGTGCGATGACGATGATGATGCTGATGGTGATGGTGATGGTGATGCTGATGGTGATGGTGATGGTGATGGTGATGGGAAGGAAATTGTGGGGCAAGAAGTGGAAGCAGGGGCGGGGCGGGAGGACGGCGAGGCGGTGATGGTGCTGGTGGGTGCAGGGAGGGGCGGCGAGGGCAATGGGAGCACAGGAGCAGGGGAGGAGGAGCAGGGCAGGAGGCGGTGGTATGAGGTGATGCGACAGCCAGGCGTGGTGGTGGCGGTGGCAGCAGCGACGGTGGCGTATGCGGGCATGGCGACCATCATGCTCACTGCCGTCATTGCCATGCTCGCCGTGCAGCCAGGTGCGCTCACGTGCTGTGCTGCCAGGGGACGTGGGAGCCTCGTGCTCGCACCTCACACTTGCACATTCCTCAGTGCAACAGTCTCTTTGTCACTCTGGGCACATATGCTTCGCATTGATAATGTGTGTGTGTGTGCGTGTGCGCATGTGTGTGTGTGTGCGTGTGCGCATGTGTGTGTGTGTGCGTGTGCACATGTGTGTGTGTGTGCAGGCACAGACGATGTGGACCTAGAGGGCCAGTTGGGGGCAGTGATATCGTTTGCCGACACCAGCAACGTCATTCTCGTGCATGTCGAGGTCAGCACCCTCCCCTCACACTTACTCTACCTCTCGACGGCTTCTCACCACTAGCTACCTCGCACCTCCACTCTTTCCGCCCTGCCATCAGCACCTGTGCCCATTCCCTTGCCCTTTTTCTCTTCCTCCGTGTGTCCCCTCGGTGTCCCTCTCCCCCGGGTGCAGGCCATGTTTGTGCCGTCCTTCTTCACGCCAGCCATCATAGCAGCGCTGGGCAGTGACGGCGCCATGCTGCTGGGATTCGTGGTGCTGCTCGCCTCGCAGCTCGCTCTGCTCGCAGGCACCACCCTGCCGCTCTTCTTCCTCTGCCTGGCCCTGCTGGGCCTCGGCTAGAACCTCGCCTTTGTGGGCGCCACGGCCCTGCTCGCCACCACGTACCGCCCACACGAGAAAGACATGGTCCGCCTCTAGCTTCGCCCTCCCAATCCATGCCCTCCTTTCCCTTTTCCCCAATCGTCTGTTGTTTGCACACACTTCATGCTGAAGGGAGCTTGTGAGACTGCCATCCCCCCCAACTGTTTTTCCTTATCTGCCTTCCTGACCCCTGCCTCCTCTGACTGCATCTTCACTTCCCCCCACCCCTGGCCTCTGACCGGATACGGAGTGCAGGTGCAGGGCATCAATGACGGCATAGTGTTTGGAGTGAACACCATCGTGGCATCCACTGCCAGTCTCGTGCTGCAAACCATCAACAGCTGGCCCACCTTCCTCCTCATCTACTCCCTCGCCTCCTCCCCCGCTCTCTTCCTCACTCTCGCCTTCTGGCTCGCGCGGCGACGCTTGCTGCCATTCCATTGGCCAGGAGTCACCCCCTCTGCTCCGCCCCTCTTGCCAGCACCATCATGTGCGCCCCCACCCGGGCATACACATGGTGCATGGGGAGGGAAGGGGAAGCAGCTGGTGAGGTCACTGTCGCGACGGCTTGGAGTGAGTGGGAGGGTGGCGGGGATGAAATGGGGATAAGACGAGCGGATGCTGTACGGATCAAGAGGCCGAGCTATGAGGCAATAATTGTTGGTGCAATGTTTATATCAAATGCAAGCCGTCTCTGACGCAGCCTGACAGGCAGCACTTTCCGCCAAATTCACACAAAATACCGTACTGTATGTTCATACTCGCAGTGTGCATGTGCCTTGCCGCTATCACTCGTTTGTGTGAGGGTTTTGTGTGTGCCTCCTCACTGTCACTTGCACCCCATCAGTGAGCGTTTACCTCTCATGCCAGCTGCACCTCACTCTCACTCAGCGTCGTGAACGAGGGCTTGGCCTGTAGAAGGCAAGTCCTCATAAGAACCACCGCACGGCACACCATGGGGCAAGGCATCATGCCACCCACAGCATGTGCGGGAGGAATCTGTCCTGCTTGGGTGTTTGTGCTCAGGTGCCTTCCAGGCTGCCTGCCCTGTGCCCACCCCTCCCACCTGTTCCGCAGATCCAACCCACCACAGCACAGCGCAACACCTAACCACAGCACATCTAAGAAAAGCTAAGCAAGCACATCTAATCAAATAAAACCAAAGCTAAGTACAGCTACAGATAGCTAAGGACAGCAGCGGCCCATCTTGAGCTCGTGGAGGTTCACCACCATTCGGCACGCCATGTGACATCCTCTCTTTTCCTGCACATCACCACAACAGAGCCACTTTTCCACTGTCAGCAAGATGGCAATCGGACATGGAGTAGAGCGGTTGAAAGAGAATAGACAGCCAATTACAAGCTGGAAAAGAGCCAGCAAGCACTAAGTGGGAAATGTACAATAGCAAGGCCAGCAACTCCCCCCCTGCAGAACCTCCCATCACCTACCATATAGAATACGCAGCACTGCTGTTGCTGCCACTGCTTTCCCCACGACTGTTGTCATAGACAGGAATGGGTGATGGAGAGGGGCGAAAGGTGAAGGCACCATATTCAAGGAGATGGGACACAGAAAGAGGGGAGGACTAGCAACATACGGAGAAGGATGACGGGAGACGAGCAAGCCATCAAAGCCTAGACAACAATGCAAGGAATATTAACCAACCAACAGTTGGAGCGAACTCCTAAGCATTAGGGTAAGATGTACTCACCCCTCCAGTGCTGCAGTAACAATCACTGCAGCGGCCATTGATGATGCAGCTACTGCTGCCACCACTGCTGCTGCTGCTGCCACCGTTGCTGCCCATACTAATGGTGCTGGATGAAAGTTTTTTCCCTTCCGGTGATGGAGGAGAGGAGAGAAGATAAGGGGAGCGGGCAGAAAGGAGGGGATTGAGGGCTGAGCAAAGGGGCATGCGAATCTGGCAACACAGTACAGTAGAAAAGACATATCGGCACCGTGGAAAGATGGTACAACAAAGGCATGAAACGGAAGAAGTACACTTCTTCATCTTCACTGCTGCTGCATCTTCACTCACTTTACCTCTTGCACTGGGTAAGCAGCCTTCCACGCATGCAGGGTATGGAGGCAGATCGACTAAGAGTACAGAAGAGAAAATACCTGGAAAGCCAATGCACCGTTACTGCCTCTTCTCCTCGCTGGACAGCTGTCTCTCGTGCGAGCCAGCAACGGCAGCCCCGCCCATTCCCCGTCCACTCGCTGCCATTCCCCTCCACCTCACAGGCCGTGAGGCAAACACACGCATGGGGAGAGAGACAGTCACACAGAGGCAGCGCAACAAGGGAGGGTAAGAAGCAGCAGGAGGCGAGTGCCGGAGGCAAGGGCAACAGACACGACTCTTGCCTCTGCGCGGCGACGCCCTACGACTCACTTCACTGCCCCCCAGCAAGCAACCCCTGGCACGTACCATGCTCTGTCCGCCGCTCTGCCACTCCTGCTTCATGCCTTCACTTCAGGCGTGCTGCTCCTGGTTGCCTCTCGTGCGAGCCAGCAACGGCAGCCCCGTCCGTTCCCCGTCCACTCGCTGCCACTCCCGTCCGCCTGGCAGGCCGTGAGGCACACACACGCATGGGGAGAGAGACAGGCACACAGAAGCGGCGCAACAAGGGAGGGTTAGAAGCAGCAGGAGGCGAAAGGTGGAGCAACAGACACGACTGTTGCCTCTGCGCGGCGACGCCCTACGACTCACTTCACTGCCCCCTTGTAAGCAACCAATGGCACGTACCACGCTCCGTCCGCTGCTCTGCCACTCCTGCGCCATGCCTTCACTTCAGGCGTGCTGCTCCAGGTTGCCTCTCGTGCGAGCCAGCAACGGCAGCCCCGTCCATTCCCCGTCCACTCGCTGCCACTCCCGTCCGCCTCGCAGGCCGTGAGGCACACACACGCATGGGGAGAGAGAGAGGCACACAGAAGCGGGGCAACAAGGGAGGGTTAGAAGCAGCAGGAGGCGAAAGGTGGAGCGACAGACACGACTGTTGCCTCTGCGCGGCGACGCCCTACGACTCACTTCACTGCCCCCCTGCAAGCACCCCCTGGCACGTACCACGCTCCGTCCGCCGCTCTGCCACTCCTGCGCCATGCCTTCACTTCAGGCGTGCTGCTCCAGGTTGCCTCTCGTGCGAGCCAGCAACGGCAGCCCCGTCCATTCCCCGTCCACTCGCTGCCACTCCCGTCCGCCTCGCAGGCCGTGAGGCACACATACGCATGGGGAGAGAGACAGGCACACAGAAGCGGCGCAACAAGGGAGGGTTAGAAGCAGCAGGAGGCGAAAGGTGGAGCAACAGACACGACTGTTGCCTCTGCGCGGCGACGCCCTACGACTCACTTCACTGCCCCCCTGCAAGCAACCCCCTGGCACGTACCACGCTCCGTCCGCTGCTCTGCCACTCCTGCGCCATGCCTTCACTTCAGGCGTGCTGCTCCAGGTTGCCTCTCGTGCGAGCCAGCAACGGCAGCCCCGTCCATTCCCCGTCCACTCGCTGCCACTCCCGTCCGCCTCGCAGGCCGTGAGGCACACACACGCATGGGGAGAGAGAGAGGCACACAGAAGCAGAGCAACGAGGGAGGGTTAGAAACAACAGGAGGCGAAAGGTGGAGCGACAGACACGACTGTTGCCTCTGCGCGGCGACGCCCTACGACTCACTTCACTGCCCCCCTGCCAGCACCCCCCGGCACGTACCACGCTCCGTCCGCCGCTCTGCCACTCCTGCTTCATGCCTTCACTTCAGGCGTGCTGCTCCTGGTTGCCTCTCGTGCGAGCCAGCAACGGCAGCCCCGTCCATTCCCCGTCCACTCGCTGCCACTCCCGTCCGCCTCGCAGGCCGTGAGGCACACACACGCATGGGGAGAGAGACAGGCACACAGAAGCGGCGCAACAAGGGAGGGTTAGAAGCAGCAGGAGGCGAAAGGTGGAGCAACAGACACGACTGTTGCCTCTGCGCGGCGACGCCCTACGACTCACTTCACTGCCCCACTGCAAGCAACCCCTGGCACGTACCACGCTCCGTCCGCCGCTCTGCCACTGCTGCGCCCTGTTGCTGCCCGTTCTCCAGGTAAATCCGTTGCTTCTGCTGCCGCTGCCGCTGCTGCTGTTGCTTCTGCTGCCGCTGCTGCTGCTGCTGCTGCTGCTGCTGCAGTCGTTGCTCACGTCGCGACCAACATTGCATCGTTGCCTCTGACGCTCCATCGAAACACACTGATGCTCGCACGTCCGCGCGATGCAACAGAGACGTCGCATTGACCGCGGAAATAGCAGCGACGTGCGTTGGCGACGAATAGCGCCGTTGCTCTGACGGCGGAATCAGTAATTCTTGGACGCCGGAAACGGCAGCGAGATTGTTTTCTATGGTAGGAACAGCAGCGACGTCGCGACGGCTAAAGCCGCGAAGACGTTGCTAGTCTGGCGGATACAGCTGAAAAGCTCAGCGTCGACGGCTAAAGCCGCGAAGACGTTGCTATTCTGGCGGATACAGCAGAAAAGCTCAGCGTCTAAAGCAGCGACGACGTTTCTTCTCTGGCGGAAATAGCGGCTGTGTCCTACGCGATGACGTAAACAGCAGCGACGCTGTAATGACGACGAGACACAGCAATGCCGCTAAACTTTCTCCTACGCTGCTGCTCACTGGAGATGTCTGATAAGCGACTTCGCAATGGCGACGTGACACAGCAATGTCGCAACGACGGTTGAAGTACCCGTGGCGTTGCCTTGGCGGCTTTCTATTCGTCTCAGCTGGAACGCCGACTGAACCAGCAACTTAACGCCTTAACGTCGTATCCGCCTTGGGATTGGATCAGATCCAAATTAACAAAAGTACGATCCGTCTCGTCTGAACCAGCAACTTAACGTTGTATTAGCCTTAGCTTGGAATCAGATCCATCGTAACTGACTACAATAATTTCTTATCTAGGAATCACACTTCGCCACGACTTGACACCGACCTAACTACATTAGGCTTAAGTTGGCATCCATATAGCTATCGGTTGCCACACACAGTGGCGGCTAATGTTCTGTGAGCAAACTTGACGTTAGTGCAGGTACGTGAGAGAACTATAGGCTAGTGTGACAAGCAGCTCACATAGTTGACCTGGAACTCAGAGAGGAGGTAGGAAAACGGCAGGCCTGTAAGATAGTGGATGTGTGGAGCAATGAAGCGAAGAATGGAGGTGAGGAGAACCTTTGGTTGATGCCGTCGTGGAGAAACCAAGGTGGGATTCCCCGTCAACGCTTCAAGTGGAAGGCGGCAGCGCGGCGGAATCCCGACAACTTTCGTTTCATGCCAATTTGGTTCACGGCCTGCGAAACCTAGAGCCATTTCATGAAATTGAGCAGGAGCTCAAAAGGGGTGAGGTTCGGATCATCAGTGCGAAGCAGGGATTGGCTGGCCGAAGCAGTTGCCGTGTCAGTCAGAGTGCAAGTTTGAAATGTTCGGAGGGAAACTGGAGGCTCGGTGCGAAATCAGACGAGGTTCGGTCGGAATAACTGAACTGTACCAATTTGGGAGATTGGAGTTCATTGAACAGCTTCGCTTTCCCATTTTCGCTTAGTGTTCAGTTGGAGGTGAAGTTGCTCTAACGCAAATGCTACTAATTACTACAATGTAAACAAAACAGGGTGCATACACATAATATACTAGCAAGAGAAACAATATTGACAAAATGCATAGAAACAGATGCTAGAGCAGCCACAGGTGCCCAGCCCAGACTGCAAGGTTCCTTCCTCGCATACTGAAGGAGCGAGCTAACATGCGCACACTGCAGAGCAGAGATTGCTCCTGCAGGGGCAGCCATGGCGGCTCATGTATGTGCAGGTGGACGCTGCCACTCTAGGGAAGCACACCTGCGCAAGGGGACAGGGCCTATCAACAAGCAACACTACCTAATGTACCGTATGAGCCTCATGAGCGATACCTAGTAATATACACCGCCACATTGCTTCTCTAGTCCATGCGCCACTGTCCAGCACGCACGCTTTGCTCCAACCCTGTGCGCCAACCTCCTTCTCCATCTCAAGCTACCTGCGGCCATGGCTACAGCTGACTGCTGCACGCCGTGGCACTACCACCTGGAGATACTTCCACACGCACCCGCTCACGCCCATCTCTCGCGTACCTAGCCTCGCCCGTGCAGTCAGTCCCTGATCTTGCGCGCGGCTCGCTCAAGCCACTGTTCGAGGAAGGCAGCCATGTCGAGCCAGGCGTTGTAGCGCCCGCCGCAGTGCGAGAGCCAGAGGTCCATCACCTCCTCCTGCTGCGCCGATGGCAGCGTCAGAATCACCTGCCCCAGCATCTCGCCCAGCAGCCGCCCCCGCTCGCGCGAGAACACAGCGGGAAGGCGGGGAATGGTGGTCAGCACGGGCAGCCACAGCTTCACGAGCGCCGCCCGTGTGTTAGTTGGAATGATGGCGTGGCCGCCCACCATCAGGGTTAGTAGCCGCAGAATAATAGGGAGCAAGGGATCGTACATGGCGGCTTCCGCGCGATTATCTCTATGGGTGAAGTACTCGACGTGTCGCACGAAGCCTTGGTCCTCGCTGAGCCACTTGATTATGTACTCGGCAAACCCTAACCGGTCCACCATGGTTCCCATGAGCCACGCCACGTTGTCCATTTCAACTGCGAACTTGGCGGCGAGCTCCTTGGACGACTCGGCCGCCATGTCCACGAAGTGCATCACGCCGCCTCCCCCGGCCGCCTCCTCCACCACGCACGCCTGAACGCGGTCTATCAACTCGTCCAGCTGCTCGAACAGCACGCGCTTCCGCACCTCGGCGCGCAGCGAGCCGCTCGTGAAGAGCTTCTCCACGGAGGCGCGCCACATGGCCTTGGACTGCGGGTCGGCTGGAGGCACTGCGTCCGCGCGCGCCACGGCCTGAGACACGAGCTTCTTAAGAACGTTATAGACCGCTTCGGCGCTTGTCGGTCCGAGACGCGCCAGAACACGTAGTCCGCCCTTGGTTTGGTCCATGCCGAGGCGCGCGAGGACATTAACTACCTCAACCTCCTCGTCGGTGGACCACGGCACGGCCTCCAGGTATCGCAAGCAGGCGTTGATACCGTCGTCGAATTGCAGGTCCGCGGCTACCTGAAGAATCTTAAGAGCCTTGCTGACGCTTGTTATTTCCGCCTTAGGGTCCTTCCCGTCCAACAATCGTAGCGTGGCTTCGTACGAGCTGACGTCGGCGACGTAATCGCTGACCATGAGCTGAACATGCGGCTCCTCGGCCGGCGTGCCGCTGCCGCTTGACACGCTGCCGGCGACTGAGCCAGAAGCCGCGGATGTCTTGGCAGAGGCGGAGGAATGCAGGGGAGCGAGAGCGGGGGAGGCGTTGGTGGAGCTGATGGAGGTGGCGACGAGGTCGTTCCAGTGGTCCGACAGCGAGTCCGCCAGCAGCTTGCTCTCTGCTAGCGCCGTGTCGGAGAGAGACATGGAGCAGATAGCCCTACTGCCGCCTTTCTCGCACACGGACACGCGAATTGACTTGCGGTGCTGTTGTAGCGGGTTCTTGTGACGCGGCTCTAGCTCCAGCGGAGCCATTGTTTCACTAAGGGTTTGGCGTTTGGTGTCGGCTTTTGGGATTGGGGACGCCATGGTGGAGGAAGACCAGAAGGTCGCTGGTTTCATAAACTACATAACGCAAGAATGGTGGACGATGTTTGAGGAGACGCAACAAACGAAATCCTTGAGAAGTGATTGATGGATGAGATGATACGGTTCATGGCATGGCAAGCACGAGTCTTGCGGGGCTTGGATGGAAGTGGACAGAGAGGTGCTCTGCTGCTGCTGCTCTGCTCACTCCCGCAGCCGATGGCTGTGCTGGCAGAGGGCTTCGCGGCCGCAACTGGGATGAACCGGGGGGACCGACTGGCGCAACCAGGCATGCCTCTCGGGGGAGGTTGGGCGTTCCCCATGGACTGACCGACTAGCTGAGGCCAATCGCATCAGCGCGCAGCAGCCTATCGCGCAGGCTTGGCAAGATCTCCGTGTGCCTTCGCAGCACCACACCACCCTCGACCGGAACCACATCAGCTCTGGCTAGCTGACATGACGGGCTTGAGGCTGTCGTGTGCCGAGAGACGCGGTGATTCGCGAAAGTGTTCGCTTGCTGCCTGTGAGGGTGGATGTTATGAGTTGTACTAGACAGAGTGCGCGGAAGACTTAATAAAAAGGATGTCGAGTACAGAATGCCGATAATGATAAAGGAACAGGCATTTATAGGGTCGAAACCGTGCTAGGCGAGGACCTCGGGACGTGGATGGTTTGGAAGTGTCGCGATTGGTGCGGGGCGACTCGGCATTGGTTCGGTGCGGAAGTGTAGGCCGAGCCACCTGATGCGAAGTGCTCGGGCTGTACCCGTTAAGGCAAGGCTACAGTAAGGAATTGGTAAATTCCTTACACTCTCCCACCTTCTAGATAAGGTCCCCTTATCCGTAGACGAGTCGTGCAGTAGCGTGAAAACTGCAGATCTCGGTCGAAACTGATCTGACGGTGCAGAAGCACGTTGACTTTCGAGTTGACGCGTGGCTGAGAGCGTTGACCAGGCGAATTTCAAAGAGTTGGAATGTCAGCCGTTGATACTGCCGATGTCGATCGGGCGGTCGAAGGCGAAGGTCGATTTGAAAATCTGTCGATGAATGAAGGCCGTCAATGTGATGGATCTGTGTCGGACGGTCGAGATGAACGAAATAGTGGCGGGAATTATGACGCGTTGTCAGAATCCGATGAATCAGGACCCGTCGATATCGATTGTTTAATTACGAGCGTCCGTCGTGCTGGATGTGTCAGACGAGATGTCATAAAAAACTGACAAGTACAGTGCGAGAGCACTTTCTCTCCCCCCTCTTGAAGATTGGGCTGCCCACCAAAAGTGTACAGCTGCGCGTGTAGAATCTTCAACTTTCCTGCATGTCAGGGTTAGTCAAGACTACCAAGTGTAATGAACTCCCCGCTGAATTTTAGCAGCTGCCTGTCGAAAGTTGTAGTCGGTGGCGAAATATCGCTGATGTGGCGCGTAAACAACGCCCAGGGTAGACCGTGTTGATGTCCCAAGAAATTATCGTTTTGCGCCGGGACGCGGGTGCGATCCTTCGAAATATGTTTTTATGAAGACAACTTTCTTCTTGTCTTGTAGTCGCGACTGCTGCTGCATCATCAAATCACCCGAGTTGCTGCAGCATCTCCAGTTGTCAGCATCTGCAACCCTGAATTGCTGCCGTTTGTCATGTTGCTGTGGCGAAAATCCTCGCTGTAGCTTCTCGAGCTGTCAGTACCCCCGACAGTCTTGTCCGGACTCGCCGAGGTTTTTGTCGCTTTTCTCCGAAAACTACCGGGCAGAGTCGAAAAACACCTGCTGCTCCTCCCCCTGACCCCCGAAATATTTTTTCAAACTCGAACTTGAACTGCCGATGACGTCAGCTACCTCGGCGACGTTGTCGTGACTCGCCGAAAACCTCCGGGCAGGGGCGAAAACAGCTGTCGTCCCCTCCCTCCACCTGTTGCAAATTTTCACCTGTGTTGTCGCTGGTACCCCCGAACGGAGTCGGAATTAACTGCCAATCGTGTTCCCGTTGGTTTTGCGCGCTTAACCAAGCGCTTCTGCATCCCCACCGTTTCGAACGGAACTGCCGACCGTTGCCGCCGAACTCCGCTAAGACCCAGCTCCCAGTACTGCTGCTGAAACCCGTAAGTGTCGGTGCCGAAAAATCCTCGTACGCTTGGTCAGCTGCAGGTTGTCCCCTTGAAGAACCGGTGTATCTAGCGTGCCCACCCGTCGCCACTCTCATCGCCTGTGGTTAACCACACTAGCAACCCACCAAAAAGGAGGCGCTTTTCCATGTGGAACCCAGAACAGTGGGTCTACCGGGACCGAATTTCACGGAACCTAGCCGCATCAACGCCGCAGATCTCGCTGTAGGATTTCCCCAGATGGCCTCGAAGTATACCGTAAAACTCTCAAACAGCTGGCGAGCAGACGTTCACCCGTCGCCCACCGTCGAAATTGCACCCGAAAATCATGGTTGCGGAATCAAGCCCCGAAGTATTCTCTGCCGTGTAGCCCCGACGTTTCCGCCATTAACCCTGGTACTCCGACGTTCACCCATCTTCGTACCCGTCGAAATTACTTAGCAAATCCCAGGCATCCTTGGCAATACACCCCTCGCCGCGCCTCCATGTAACAATATCAAACCCTTTCGGGTGTCTACCGAATAGACTCCGAAATTCGCGGTGGAGTGGTGTACGGGCTCAGCCTATCACTCAAGTAGCTTGAAGCGACACCCACAACTTTCCCTCCTTTTTTTTAATTTTCACCACCCGACAATTTCGCTTGCCGCCGTTCACCCTGCGTCCGCTTTTGTCAGATGAGGTATTCTCTGTGTTGACCCGCGATTTTTCTGGCGTTCGATGAAAGCGCGAACGCTATCGTAGTCGGAGTGAGTTTATCATATCAAACTCTCAGCCGGCCGCTTCGCTGCTCACCGTGCCTATCGCATTTAAAAACTCCGCAGCTTTGGGAACTCCGTCTTCGCTGCTACACCTTCGTCGGGTAGACCGTTGAATCCGGAGAAACACCGCCAGCTGCCACAACTTCTTCAACCCCGACTTTTTCGGCGGAGTACTGTTGCCGATGGTCCGTTTTTGTCGGGGCCAAAACAGTGTCGCACCACGAAAAATTCTTGTACGCCCTGCTGTCGAACCAGCGCCACCCACGCCTTTCTAACCAGCACAGGGCTAAAATACAGGGCCCCACCTTTTTATCCAGTGGCCATCAGGACTTACGAATTGCCTTAGAGACCTTTCTGGTGTGAGGTACGTGAAACGTTGGTAGACTTTGGCCGGTAGGGAGCTCCTTCTGCTACCGCCGCGTAGCCGTGAAACTCGGCCTCAGCAAAAAGTCGTCGCAGAAGGTCGTTTTCTCCCCTCCTGAAGCTCGGAATCCGTTTCTCTCGCAAGACCCGTATTTGTCGCAACTCCGTTTATTGTAGCCGGTAGACCCGGCGAAATTCGCGGGTCTAGACGCTGCGCCAAACCGTTGTCCCGTCGGTGTACTGCCCTGTCTGCGGCGCAACTTCCCTTGATCAGGGGGAGCCTGTGTCGCCTGAAGTACAGTGTCGGCTGCTGCTGTTGCTCCGAAGAATTCGGCCGACTTTGTTGCAGGCGCAGAAGTGACCCTAACGCGAACAGTCTAGTCGTAGGCGGCCTGTTCCGATCTTTTCGGCGGGTTGAAAATAACTTTCGTCCCACACTGTGCCGCTCCTGCCGAAAAACGCCCACGACGCACCCTCCTGCAGCAACACCTGCCGCACCCGGGCGGGACGACGGTAGACCCCCGCTTTCTTCGGGCAGTCGCCACGCCGCCTCTCCTCGCCGTCGGTTTTTCTGACGCAAATCACACATTGCGCCTGGCTGCTCGCACAACAGTCGTTTTCCACGTGCTGCTACCCGAAGTCTTCGCGCACAGTGACGCCACGCCACTTGCCGAAGACCTCCAGCGGGCTCATGCGCAACGTGACGAAGACACTTCAACGCCACTTGCTGCATGCAGTCCACTCCGATGTTTTCGTGCGCAGTTGACGACCGCGTGAAGAATGTCAACTCGCACCACGTTGCTTCCGACAATTTCGGACGTGCGCCGACGACGAGTCTGCCGACGTCAGCCGTTACACAGAAATAACTCCGAAATTGACGAAAACCAGCACAGTTAACTCACGCATTAAATGCGACGACAGCAAAAGCTGTCCGCCACCCGGGGGGGAGGGAGGCCACGGTCCATCTCGACCGTCGAGGGTAAGGATCCGTCGGTGCCGCAGGAGCGCCTTGAAATTCATGGCCGCTAGGAGCAACTACCCGTTCTCCTGGCCGGCTCTTGCGCTGCTCCTGTCACCACGGCATCCTTCCCTGTCCCCCCCCCCCCCCCCGAGGGGTAATACACTCTAAAAAACGGGTGTCCTTGGAAAGTAGCTCTGATACCAAGTGTTATGAGTTGTAGAGACAGAGTGCGCGGAAGACTTTATAAAAAGGATGTCGAGTACAGAATGCCGATAATGATAAAGGAACAGGCATTTATAGGGTCGAAACCGTGCTAGGCGAGGACCTCGGGACGTGGATGGTTTGGAAGTGTCGCGATTGGTGCGGGGCGACTCGGCATTGGTTCGGTGCGGAAGTGTAGGCCGAGCCACCTGACGCGAAGTGCTCGGGCTGTACCCGTTAAGGCAAGGCTTCTCAGAATAGGAATGCAACGGAATGATGAAACTAGAAAGTGTGGAAGTACAAATATGCAACCCTAACAACTGTACTCCCTATTGTGCTACTCACTGTAGCCTACAAGCATAGAATTACATTTGACACACCCCCATAGGCTAAGTGAGGGGCATCAAAGCAAGCAAGGTGAACAAACGGTCACAAGACCAGTCAAAGCAAGAAACAAGGCAAGCTCAGGGTGGATCTCAAGGACACCACACAAATTCCGAGCGCAAGCAAGCGGCCACAAGGCCAGTTCAAGAGTTCACTAGGATATAAATAGGAAGCACAACAAGCAGAGCAAACAACAAGACTACAGCAACCGAGGGCCTACCTCAACAAGCCCCAACTGCACACAGAACCTGTGGTGATCACCAAGCGTCAAGGCCTTGGTGAAGACGTCTGCAGTGTTGGCCTCTGAGGCCACAAAGTCCAGGCGTGCCTGGCCGCGTCGCTGCAGCTCTCGCAGGAGGAAGTACCTCACGTCAATATGCTTCACTCTGCTCTCCAGTCGAGGCTCTCGACACAGGAGGATCATGGCCTTGTTGTCAGCGTACAAGGTCGGTGCAGAGCGAGGCCGCTCACCAAGGTCGGCGAGCAAGAAGGTCAACCAACAAAGCTCCTGTGCCGCCATGGCACCCGCGTAGATCTCTGCCTCTGCACTGGAAGTAGCCACAGACGACGACCGTGTAGACCTCCACGACACAGCACCAGCTCCAAGACTGAAGCAGTAACCCTGAGTCGAGCGCTGAGTCTCCACGTCGTCAGCGTAGGAAGAGTCACAGTGACCAGTCAACGCCACTGGCTGAGTCCCTCCAAGTACAAGCCCCATGCCTGATGTAGTCGCTAGGTACTTCGCCACCCTCACAGCAGCTGTCCAGTGGACAGGGCGGTGTCTCCCAGTCGCTACAAAGCGAGAAAGGATGCTGAGGGGAAAGGCGAGGTCCGGTCGAGTACAAGTCATCAGGTACATGAGGCAGCCCACCAGCTCTGCGTACGGTCCACTGGACTCAAAGGGCTCGTCAGGAAAGGGGCCCGTGAGTCTGTGGTCAACAGCAAGAGGAGTGGGCTGTGTGGTGGAGAACTGGAAGTCGAACCGCCGAAGGACCTGCTGCACCATGTGTGACTGCGTCAGTGTGATGGTGCGAGCGGCTCTGTCCCGGGTGATCTGCAGGCCAAGGTAGCGCTGCAGCTCACCCAGGTCAGTACACCTGTGTCTCTTCTGCAGTTCGGACTTCACCTGAGCCAGGGCTGCCCTGTCTGCTGTAGCAAACACCAAGTCGTCGACGTAGACAAGGATAAAGAAAGGAGTAGAACCCGCTCGAACAAACAGCGACGGGTCGGCGGAGGACGGGCTGAACCCAAGGTCACGAAGCGTGGAGCGAAGAGTGTCGTGCCACTCACGGGGCGACTGGCGGAGACCGTAGACTGGTCGCCTCAGGCTCCACTGGGTCCCAGGTGGGAAGGTGTCAGTGAAGCCAGGAGGACGGCGCAGCCAGATCTCCTCGTGCAGTCGGCCCTGGAGGAACGCAGTGGAGAAGTCGAGGGAGTGCAGCTCGTGGTCTCGCTGCGCTGCTATGTGGAGTAACACCCGAAGAGTAGTCATCTTCGGGGTCGGGGCGAAGGTCTGGAAGAAGTCAACTCCCTCACGCTGACTGAAGCCCCTAGCCACGTAGCGCACCTTGAACACCGGCGGTGCTCCAGGCGGCCGCTTCACCTTGAAGAGCCACATGCCATCGACTACGTTCGCCCTGGGAGGGGGAACTGCGTCGACGTAGGTGCCTGTGGATCTCCAAGACGCCAACTCTGAGTCCATAGCCGCTTTCCACTGAGAGGCCCACGCCCCTGACACTGCCTCGCGGTAAGTGCGAGGAGTCGGTATGTCAAGGGCGTCGGGGTCTCCCTCAGGGGAGAGCAGCATGGCACACACAGAGGGAGAAGCGGCTGCCCAGTACTCCAGCTCAGACTCTCTGTCCTCTAGGACGTCACAGCCAAGGGCAAACCCACCCCCGACGGACAGAGGACGGTAGGGAGGAGCTGGCACCACACGGGTGGCGTAGTCAAGGCGGCTGGCGGCAGCAAACTCAGCGACAGTGGCAGTAAGAGCCGAGACAGACGACGGAGGGAAACGAGAGTCGGTGACAAGAGTGGCGAGGACACGTGCGGCAACAGGACGAACAGCGCGGTAGTAGTCAGAGATAGGAGTGGGGAGGGCTGGGAGAGAGGACGGAGGAGGAGACGGGAGAACGGACACAGGAGAAGGAGAACGGCGACGAGACGAACAAAGGAGGGCAGTGTGGAGGTCAGTAACAGGGGACGAGTGACGAGCACGCGGAGGACAACGAGTGATCAAGTCGTGACGGACAGAAGGAGGAGGAGACCGAGGAGGAGGAGAAGACCAGACCACCGGACGGTCGTCAGGAGGAGGCAACGGAGGGACAAACACAGGAGGAGACTGGGAGCGGACAGGAGGAGAGGAGGAAAGGCCAAGGGCCCGCAGGCCACTCACAGGTGGGAACAACTGCCGCTCCAGAGGAAGCTGCGGCTGCGGCTGCGGCTGCTGCTGCTGCTGCTGCTGCCGCTGCCGCTGCTGCTCCAGAAGGTCCAGCACCCGCAGCTCCTGCCGCTCCCTCTCCAACCGCTCCTACTCCTCACGCTCACGCCGACGGGCAGCCTGGAGACGCGTGTCGTGGCGGTGGGGAGGCGGAGTGGACTCCGCAGAACCAGGGTCTCCAGCGTCAGTCTCCTCAGACTCAGCACCCCCAGAACTAGCACCGCCAGTGCCAGCACCTCCAACTCCAGCACCCCCAGAACCAGCACCGCCAGTGCCAGCACCTCCAACTCCAGCACCCCCAGAACTAGCACCTCCAGTGCCAGCACCTCCAGCTCCAGCGCCCCCAGAGCTAGCGCCACCTGCGCCAGCACCTCCAGCTCCAGCACCCCGCGACCGAGCACCCCAAGACCGAGCACCGCCAGCGGCCGCACCTCCAGCTCCAACACCAACCGAGTCCACAGTAACCTGTCGCGGAAGTGCCGAAGGCTGCTGAGGGGACTGTGAGGAGGACTGCGGGGAGGGAGACACTACCTGACGCATGACCGAGGGTAGAGGGGTAGCGTGGGACACACCAGACGGGGCAGGACCAGGGGGGGGCGGGGGTACCGGAGGAGCAGGAGCAGGAGGAGGAGAGGGTGCTAGGAAAAGGGGGGGAGGGGGTACCGGGAGACCTCGACAGGGGTACCGGGTGTAGTAGGACACAGACTCGTCAAACCGGACGTCACGGGAGTCTAGGAACTGGTGGAGGGGCGGGTGGTAAAAGGACCAGTCGGCAGAGTCCACTGGGAAACCAAGGAAGACACAGGGGACGGCGCGTGCCGAGAGCTTGTCCGCGGAGGTGTCGCGAACAAGCGCAAGGCAGCCCCAGACTCGAAAGGCCGACCCGACACCAGGGGAACCAGTCCAAAGACTGGTCAGTGAAGCCTCGGGCCGCGAGACACGCGGCTGGAGGTTCAGCTGGTGTGCGGCGTAGCGAACCGCGTGGGGCCACAGAAAATGGGGCGCACGGGCATGGATCATGGACGTGCGGGCGATGTCCATGACCAAGCCTATGCGGCGCTCAGCAACCCCATTCTGCTGTGGGGACTCTGGCAGCGTCCAGGACTGGGTGATGCCCTGTTCGCCGCAGAATCCGCCGAGCATGCCGGAGCGAAACTCGCCCCCACGGTCGGATTGGAGACAACTGACTCGACGACCACGAGTGCCCTCAGTGGCTAGAAGCCACCTGATCAGCGTAGCAGTCACCTCGGACTTCTTCGCAAGAGGGAACACGGTGGTGTACCTGGAGAAGTCGTCGACGACCACCAGAAAGTAACGCTCCCTCCCACACCCCTGCGTCGGGGCAGGGCCCCAGACGTCCAAGTGGAGAGTCTCGAAGGGAGCGGTGGCCGGACGAAGGGAGGAGGAGTGGGGAGTGGCGCGTAAGCGACCGGCGACGCACGGAGAGCAAGGAGGGGCAAGCGAGGGAGGGAGCGACGGGAAGGTGCGTGGGAGACCTGTGACAAGTCCCTGACCGAGCATGCCACGAAGGCGAGGGATCGACGGGTGGCCAAGGCGGTGGTGCCACAGGACGGTGCGGTGGGTGAGAGAGCGACAGGAGCAAGACGCAGCGACTGGACTGGACACAGCGCCAGGACCGGACACGACTACCTGGCTAGACACATCAACTGGACTGGGGACCTGGGCCGGAGGGGACGCAACGACCTGAGGGGAGGACGCGACCGGGGAGCGCTCGGTGTGGAGAACGTAGAGACCGGAGCGGGGCTCCCTGGTGAACGTGGCCAGAACAGCACCTGTGGTAGCGTCTGTACAGACTGCAGTCCGCCCACCCCCCACGAAGGTAACCGTGATCCCCCTGTCCTGGAGGTATCCAACACCCACCAAGTTCCGAGTGAACGAGGGGATGTGGAGGCCGCGTAGGACACCAGAGGGGACCACATGGCACGGGAGGGTGGTGGAGCTACGCGCAACGGCTGGTCCAGAGGTAGGATCAGCCAGAGCCACTGACACAGGAGTGAGGAGTGGCGTAAGGGTCGTGTGGTCGCGGAAGAAGCACTGAGACGCGCCCGAGTCCAGGGTGAACGACAGAGAGGCCTCAGCCGGAGGGTCACCTGACCCAGTCGCTACACAAGCACCTAGAGCAGCAACACAAGCACCTAAGCTAGACAGGCACAAGGCTACACTAGCAGGAGGCAAGCAGGCTAAACTACGAACACGCGAGCACACAGATCCCTCAGCACTAAAGTCAGCATCAACATACAAAGCATGCTGACGCGCATCGTCCATGGACAGATCAAAGACATCAATCTTACGGGTTAACAGACGAGACCAGCGAGGAGTGACCGCCAGAGGTCCCCAACGAGCCCGGTAGAGGTCGTCGAGGCGGCGGAAGCACCGCGCGGCAGAGTGGTCGCCGCGACCACAGAGACAGGGGCTGCCTGGCCCGGTGAGGCACCAGTGGGTGCACGGGCCAGCGTCACGACGAGGGGGGCGAGGGGCCCAGCTGGAAGAGCTGCTGCTGCGGCCGGTGCTCCCAGGGCCTCCCGGACCCCACTGCGGCGGGGGACCCCAGTGCTGCTGCGGACCCCACTGCAGCGGGGGCCCTCACTGCTGGAACTGCTGCGGCGCCTGCTGGTGCTGCTGTCCCTGCTGCTGCTGCTGTCCCTGCTGTGGCTGGTGCTGCTGTGGCTGCTGCTGCTGGGGGGCAGCACCCCCACCGGTCGGGCCACCACCTGTGGGTGGACCTGTCTGTCCTGCGCCTCCTCCAAGGCCCCCTCCCCCTGGTGCACCACCGCCGCCGCCGCCGCCGCCTCCACCACCACCGCCGCTCCCACCTCCACCGCCCCCTCCACCGCCACCTCCTCCGCCCCCACCTCCCCCCTTCCCGCCCTTCTTGCCACTCTTGCCCCGTTTCTGCCAGTCTGCGGCAGAAATGGCAGCGGTGTCCTCAGAGACCGACACAGCAACAGAAGCGCGGGTAGTGGTGAAAGTGGGAAGCTGAGGGGCGGCACACCCCGCAAAGAGACGGGGGGCCACCGCATCAGTGGCGGAGGCAACGGTGAGGAGGCTGCTCTCGATGGTCCCGAGAGCAGTCTGAAGGAGGTATATAGTGAGTTCAGTGGGGTGCTTCTGAAGAAGCGCGTCGCGGGCAGTGGCAAGGCGGTCAGGGAGGCGGGTGACTAACCAGTGCACAGTGAGCCACATGGGGGGGGGAGCAACAAGGAGCTGTGCGTCGGTACAGGCCGAACGAAAACCGGCGTCAAGCGAGCGGAGGTGAGTCACTAGGTCGGAAACAGTCGCAAACGAGCCTAGGTCGGGAAACACGAACGGCATGAGGAGGCGACTGAGGGAGGCGGAGGAGGGGGTGGAATAGCGAGCCACAATAGCATCCCAAACCCCCTTGGCTGTCTCCATCTGGTCAAAGTGAGCGGCCTCAGTCGGGGGGAGAAGCTCCGATAGCGTGAGGGCGGCGGCCGCGTCACGAGAGAGCCACACGTCCCGAGCCAGGACCCGACGGTCGTAGTCCGCCTGGGCCGTAGGAGTCGGCTCCGGGGCGGTCGGCAGGGCGGCGGGGGACGGGGGTGCCGCGAGAGCACCCGACGCGTGGGCCCACAGAGTGGCGCCGTCCTGACGCTGGCTGGTGAGGAAACGTGTGGTCTGGCGCTGCCAGGTACCAAACTCGATCGGGCGTCCCTCAGCATCGAAACAGAGGCGACTGGAGCACGGCGGAGGCGAAGCTAAGAACGAGGAGGAAAACTACGGAGGGCTAGGGACGCCAGCGGGGAAAACGACGAGAGACAGTCGGCGAGAAAATAGTCGTGGGGCGGGGCTCTAACCGAACCTAGGTGGCGCTACTGGAGGGAAGAGCGGCTGCCAGCCGCTGAGCCGGGAGCCAAGTGCAGTAGGAATGGCGTGGGACCGGTGCACAGGTGAAGGGGAGAGAGATGCAGTAAGCGCACAGAGTGATGCGGTAAGTGTACGCAGGTGTGCGGTAAGCGCACGCAGGTGTGCGGTGAGTGCACGCAGGTGTGTGGTAAGTGCACGCAGGTGTGCGGGAAGCGCACGCAGGTGTGCGGGAAGCGCACACAGAGTGATGCGGTAAGTGCACGCAGGTGTGCGGTAAGCGCACGCAGGTGTGCGGTAAGTGCACGCAGGTGTGCGGTAAGCGCACGCTGGTGTGCGGGAAGCGTTGACGGAGGAGGGCGCGCGACAGGCGGAGGGGAGGGCACGCGACGGTCTAAGGAGGGCGCGCGACGGTTGAGGAGGGCGCGCGATGGTTGAGGAGGGCGCGCGACGGTTGAGGAGGGCGCGCGGCGGTCTAAGAAGGGCGCACGACGGTTTTGGAGGGCGCGCAACGGTGGGGGAGGGCGCGCGGAGGTCTAAGGAGGGCGCGCGACAGGCTGGACAGTGCGGGAGGGCGCGGGCTAGGCGCGAGGAGGGCGCGGAGGGCGCGGAGGGCGCGAGAGCACGGAGGGCGCGTAGGGCGCGGAGGCTAGCTAAAAACGAACGAGGATCTAACCTACTCGTGATACCATCTCAGAATAGGAATGCAACGGAATGATGAAACTAGAAAGTGTGGAAGTACAAATATGCAACCCTAACAACTGTACTCCCTATTGTGCTACTCACTGTAGCCTACAAGCATAGAATTACATTTGACAAGGCTACAGTAAGGAATTGGTAAATTCCTTACAGTGGAAGTGCCGCGAGTCAAGACTGTAGATCTGGATGCTTCGCGAAGCCTTGGCGAAAAGAGCTGATCACCATCACCAGCAGTCATGATCACCAACCATGTTCACCGCAATATCTAGGGCCGCCACAAAGCAAGGCGCCTCGTTTGGTTCGGAAAGACCGCCTGGTTACTTGCCGTCCCGTAACAAGAACGGAGAAAAACAATGAATTCTCAGTGTTAACACTAATTAAGCACCAGCCTTTGGTTTGGAAGAATCACAAGAGAATATTTGTTAGAATCCTTACCTTATTCTTAAGATAGGCTAGGAGACAAGTGTCGAGAGTAATGTTTGAGTAAGGAGAGACAAGGAGATACAAATGTCGACCTAAAGTGTTGTACCCTTTAGAGGGCAACTCACTGTAGCCTATCTAACAATATATAGAATATATAAACATTTGACACACCCCCATAGGCTAAGTGAGGGGCATCAAAACAACCAACGTAAACAAGGGGTCACAAGACCAGTCAAGAACAAGCATAAAAAACAAAGCTCAGGGTGGCGCTCAGAGTCACCACACACTCCGAGCACAAGCAAGTGGCCACAAGGCCAGTTCAAGAGTTTACTAGTATATATAGAAGCACAACAAGTAGAGCAAACAGCAAGTCTACAGCAACCGAGGGCCTACCTCAACAAGCCCCAACTGCACACAGAACCTGTGGTGGTCACCAGGCGCCAAGGCCTTGGTGAAGACGTCGGCAGTGTTGGCCTGTGAGGCCACAAAGTCCAAACGTGCCTGACCGCGTCGCTGCAACTCTCGCAGGAGGAAGTACCTCACGTCAATATGCTTCACTCTGCTCTCCAGTCGAGGCTCTCGACACAGGAGGATCATGGCCTTGTTGTCAGCGTACAAGGTCGGTGCAGAGCGAGGCCGCTCACCAAGGTCGGCGAGCAAGAAGGTCAACCAACAAAGCTCCTGTGCCGCCATGGCACCCGCGTAGATCTCTGCCTCTGCACTGGAAGTAGCCACAGACGACGACCATGTAGACCTCCACGACACAGCACCAGCTCCCAGACTGAAGCAGTAACCCTGAGTCGAACGCTGAGTCTCCACGTCGTCAGAGTAGGAAGAGTCGCAGTGACCAGTCAACGCCACTGGCTGAGTCCCTCCAAGCACAAGCCCCATGCCTGATGTAGTCGCCAGGTACTTCGCCACCCTCACAGCAGCTGTCCAGTGGACAGGGCGGTGTCTCCCAGTCGCAACAAAGCGAGAAAGGATGCTGAGTGGAAAGGCGAGGTCCGGTCGAGTACAAGTCATCAGGTACATGAGGCAGCCCACCAGCTCTGCGTACGGTCCACTGGACTCAAAGGGCTCGTCAGGAAAGGGGCCCGTGAGTCTGTGGTCAACAGCAAGAGGAGTGGGCTGTGTGGTGGAGAACTGGAAGTCGAACCGCCAAAGGATCTGCTGCACCATGTGTGACTGCGTCAGTGTGATGGTGCGAGCGGCTCTGTCCCGGGTGATCTGCAGGCCAAGGTAGCGCTGCAGCTCACCCAGGTCAGTGCACTTGTGTCTCTTCTGCAGTTCGGACTTCACCTGAGCCAGGGCTGCCCTGTCTGCTGTAGCAAACACCAAGTCGTCGACATAGACAAGGATAAAGAAAGGAGTAGAACCCGCTCGAACAAACAGCGACGGGTCGGCGGAGGACGGGCTGAACCCAAGGTCACGAAGCGTGGAGCGAAGAGTGTCGTGCCACTCACGGGGCGACTGGCGGAGACCGTAGACTGGTCGCCTCAGGCTCCACTGGGTCCCAGGTGGGAAGGTGTCAGTGAAGCCAGGAGGACGGCGCAGCCAGATCTCCTCGTGTAGTCGGCCCTGGAGGAACGCAGTGGAGAAGTCGAGGGAGTGCAGCTCGTAGTCTCGCTACGCTGCTATGTGGAGTAACACCCGAAGAGTAGTCATCTTCGGGGTCGGGGCGAAGGTCTGGAAGAAGTCAACTCCCTCACGCTGACTGAAGCCCCTAGCCACGTAGCGCGCCTTGAACACCGGCGGTGCTCCAGGCGGCCGCTTCACCTTGAAGAGCCACATGCCATCGACTACGTTCGCCCTGGGAGGGGGAACTGCGTCGACGTAGGTGCCTGTGGATCTCCAAGACGCCAACTCTGAGTCCATAGCCGCTTTCCACTGAGAGGCCCACGCCCCTGACACTGCCTCGCGGTAAGTGCGAGGAGTCGGTATGTCAAGGGCGTCGGGGTCTCCCTCAGGGGAGAGCAGCATGGCACACACAGAGGGAGAAGCGGCTGCCCAGTACTCTAGCTCAGACTCTCTGTCCTCTAGGACGTCACAGCCAAGGGCAAACCCACCCCCGACGGACAGAGGACGGTAGGGAGGAGCTGGCACCACACGGGTGGCGTAGTCAAGGTGGCTGGCGGCAGCAAACTCAGCGACAGCGGTAGTAAGAGCCGAGGCAGACGACGGAGGGAAACGAGAGTCGGTGACAAGAGTGGCGAGGACACGTGCGGCAACAGGACGAACAACGCGGTAGTAGTCAGAGATAGGAGTGGGGAGGGCTGGTAGGGAGGACGGAGGAGGAGACGGGAGAACGGACACAGGAGAAGGAGAACGACGACGAGACGAACAAAGGAGGGCAGTGTGGAGGTCAGTAACAGGGGACGAGTGACGAGCACGCGGAGGACAACGAGTGATCAGGTCGCGACGGACAGAGGGAGGAGGAGAAGACCAGACCGCCGGACGGTCGTCAGGAGGAGGCAACGGAGGAACAAACACAGGAGGAGACTGGGAGCGGACAGGAGGAGAGGAGGAAAGGCCAAGGGCCCGCAGGCCACTCACAGGTGGGAACAACCGCCGCTCCAGAGGAAGCTGCGGTGGCGGCTGCGGCCGCTGCTGCTGCGGCTGCGGCCGCTGCTGCTGCGGCTGCGGCTGCTGCTGCTGCGGCTGCGGCGGCGGCGGCTGCGGCTGCTGCTGCTGCTGCTGCTGCTGCTGCTGCTGCTGCTGCTGCTGCTGCTGCTGCTGCTGCTGCTGCTGCTGCTGCTGCTGCTGCCGCTGCTGCTCCAGAAGGTCCAGCACCCGCAGCTCCTGCCGCTCCCTCTCCAACCGCTCCTGCTCCTCACGCTCACGCCGACGGGCAGCCTGGAGACGCGTGTCGTGGCGGTGGGGAGGCGGAGTGGACTCCGCAGAACCAGGGTCTCCAGCGTCAGTCCCCTCAGACTCAGCACCCCCAGAACCAGCACCGCCAGTGCCAGGACCTCCAACTCCAGCACCCCCAGAACTAGCACCGCCAGTGCCAGCACCCCCAACTCCAGCACCCCCAGAACCAGCACCTCCAGTGCCGGCACCTCCTGCTCCAGCACCCCCAGAGCTAGCGCCACCTGCGCCAGCACCTCCAGCTCCAGCACCCCCAGAGCTAGCGTCACGTGCGCCAGCACCTCCAGCTCCAGTACCCCGCGACCGAGCACCCCCAGACCGAGCACCCCCAGACTCGTCAAACCGGACGTCACGGGAGTCTAGGAACTGGTGGAGGGGAGGGTGGTAAACGGACCAGTCAGCAGAGTCCACTGGGAAACCAAGGAAGACACATGGGACGGCGCGTGCCGAGAGCTTGTCCGCGGAGGTGTCGCGAACAAGTGCAAGGCAGCCCCAGACTCGAAAGGCCGACCCAACACCAGGGGATCCAGTCCAAAGACTGGTCGGTGAAGCCTCGGGCCGCGAGACACGCGGCTGGAGGTTCAGCTGGTGTGCGGCGTAGCGAACCGCGTGGGGCCACAGAAAATGGGGCGCACGGGCATGAATCATGGACGTGCGGGCGATGTCCATGACCAAGCCTATGCGGCGCTCAGCAACCCCATTCTGCTGTGGGGACTCTGGCAGCGTCCAGGACTGGGTGATGCCCTGTTCGCCGCAGAATCCGCCGAGAATGCCGGAGCGAAACTCGCCCCCACGGTCGGAGTGAAGACAACTGACTCGACGACCAAGAGTGCCCTCAGTGGCTAGAAGCCACCTGATCAGCGTAGCAGTCACCTCGGACTTCTTCGCAAGAGGGAACACTGTGGTGTACCTGGAGAAGTCGTCGACGACCACCAGAAAGTAACGCTCCCTCCCAGACCCCTGCGTCGGGGCAGGGCCCCAGACGTCCAAGTGGAGAGTCTCGAAGGGAGCGGTGGCCGGACGAAGGGAGGAGGAGTGGGGAGTGGCGCGTAAGCGACCGGCGACGCACGGAGAGCAAGGAGGGGCAAGCGAGAGAGGGAGCGACGGGAAGGTGCGTGGGAGACCTGTGACTAGTCCCTGACTGAGCATGCCACGAAGGCGAGGGATCGACGGGTGGCCAAGACGGTGGTGCCACAGGACGGTGCGGTGGGCAAGAGAGCGACAGGAGCAAGACGCAGCGACTGGACTGGACACAGCGACCGGACTGGACACGACTACCTGGCTAGACACAGCAACTGGACTGGGGACCTGAGCCGGAGGGGACGCAACAACCTGAGGGGAGGACGCGACCGGGGAGCGCTCGGTGTGGAGAACGTAGAGACCGGAGCGGGGCTCCCTGGTGAACGTGGCCAGAACAGCACCTGTGGTAGCGTCAGTACAGACTGCAGTCCGCCCCCCCCCCACAAAGGTAACGGTGATCCCCCTGTCCTGGAGGTATCCAACACCCACCAAGTTCCGAGTGAACGAGGGGATGTGGAGGCCGCGCAAGACACCAGAGGGGACCACAGGGCACGGGAGGGTGGTGGAGCTGCGCACAACGGCTGGTCCTGAAGAAGGATCAGCCAAAGCTACCGGAACCGAAGCAAGAAGTGGTGTGAGGGTCGTGTGGTCGCGGAAGAAACACTGCGAGGCGCCAGAGTCCAGCGTGAACGACAGAGACGCCTCAGCCGGAGGCGTGTCAGGTCCGGAGGCTACACAAGCACCTAGAGCAGAAACACAAGCACCTAGACTAGAGAGGCACAGGTCTACACTAACAGGAGGCAAGCATCCTAGACTACGAACACGCGAGCACACAAATCCATCAGCACTATAGTCAACATCAGCATACAAAGCATACTGACGAGCATCGTCCATAGACAGTTCAAATACAGGAATCTTACGGGCTAGCAGGCGAGCCCAGCGCGGGGTGGTCGCCTCAGGACCCCAGCGTGCACGGTAGAGGTCGTCGAGGCGGCGGAAGCACCGCGCTGCAGAGTGGTCGTCGCGGCCGCAGACACAGGGACTGCCAGGTCCGGTGACGCACCAGTGGTCGCAGGGGCCGGTGTCGCGCCGCGGGGGGCGAGGGGCCCAGCTGGTAGTGCTGCTGCTGCGGCCAGTGCTCCCGGGTCCTCCAGGTCCCCACTGTGGCGGAGGGCCCCAGTGCTGCTGCGGACCCCACTGCAGTGGGGGTCCCCACGTCTGAAACTGCTGTGGTGCCTGCCACTGCTGCTGTCCCTGGTGCAGCTGATGTCTCTGCTGTGGCTGCTGCTGCTGTGGCTGCTGCTGCTGGGGCCCCGCACCACCGCTGGTCGAACCTCCTCCAGCAGGTGGGTCAGCACCTCCTCCAGAGCTCCCTCCGCCTGGGGCAACACCGCCACCACTGCCGCCCCCAGGGCCGCCTCCACCACCGCCACCTCCTCCACCGCCGCCACCCCCCTTCCCCCCTTTCTTGCCCCCCTTGCCCCGTTTCTGCCTGTCAGCGGCAGAAACAGCTGCAGTGTCCTCTGAAACCGACACAGCAGCAGAGGCACGTGTAGCAGTGAAGGTAGGAAGCTGGGGGACAGCACACCCCTCAAACAAACGAGGGGCAACTGCGTCAGTGGCTGAGGCAACAGAGAGGAGGTTACTCTCGATCTTCCCGAGAGTGGTCTCGAGAAGATCAATCGTAAGCTCACTGGGGTGATGCTGGAGAAGTGCGTCACGGGCAGTGGAGAGGCGGTCAGGGAGACGAGTGACTACCCAGTGGACTGTGAGCCAAATAGGAGGAGGAGCAACAAGAAGCTGAGCCTCAGTGCAAGCTGCTCGGTAGCTAGCGACAAGGGAGCGCAAGTGTGTGGCTAGGTCAGAGACAGTCGCAAAAGAGCCGAGGTCGGGAAACACGAACGGCATGAGGATGCGGCTGAGGGAGGCAGAGGAAGGGGTGGAATAGCGTGCAGAAATAGCATCATACACCTCCTTCGCAGTCTCTACCAGGTCGAAGTGAGCGGCCTCAGTCGGTGGAAGGAGCTCGGTCAGCGCGAGCGCAGCCGCAGCGTCACGGGAGTCCCAAACGTCCCGCGCCAAGACGAGACGAGCGTAGTCCGCCTGTGCCTCCGGAGTCGGGGGGGGCACGGCAGGGAGGGGCTCGGGACGCGGTGGTGCCTGGAGGGCGCCGGACGCGTGGGCGTACAGGGTGGCGCCGTCCTGGCGCTGACTGGTGAGATAGCGCTGAGTCTGGCGGAGCCAGGTGCCGAACTCTATCGGGCGCCCCTCTGCATCGAAACGAAGGCGGCGGGAGGAGTCCATATTGGACGCTAGGCTAGGAACAGCTGGAGCACGGAGCAAACGGAGCTAGGAGCGAGGAGCGAGGAGCGCCAGGTGGGACTAGGCGAGGTACTGCTGGAGCACGGAGGAAAACTGAGCTAGGAACGCCAGTCTAGTAACGAACGGAGCTGGGAGTTAGCTGAGCTAGGAGCACACGGCTGGAGGAGGCAGGGCTGACGAGCCGATCGAGGAGCCAGAGGGTCGTTCGAGGGGCTGGCGGAGCGAGGAGAGACCTAGCTAACAACGAACGTCAGGACTAGCCTAAACAGCTAAGCGGAGCGGCCTCCAGCCGCGACGGTGCGAAACACTGTGAGTATGAGTGACGCGAGTGTCGAACCAACGGAGGTCGGGTGGTCCTGGGTGGTGTGCGCGCGTGATAAGGGGATGTGAGCGTTTGGAAGGGGCTCTGAGCGGTTGGAAGGGGCTGTGAGCGGTTGGAAGGGGTTGTGAGCGGTTGGAACGGGCTGTGAGCGGTTGGAAGGGGCTGTGAGCGGTTGGAAGGGGCTGTGAGCGGTTGAAAGGGGCTGTGGGCGGGTGGGAGGGGCTAGCTGGCGCCAGCTGCTGGCGGCTAGGTTCCGGTGGCTAGCTGCTGCTGGCGGCTAGCTTCTGCCTAGCCGTGCTGCTGCTGCAGGAGCACGCGCTGCTGCCTAGCCGTGCTGCTGCTGCAATGCACACGTTGCTGCCTAGCCGTGCTGCTGCTGCAATGCACGCGCTGCTGCCTAGCCGTGCTGCTGCTGCAATGCACGCGCTGCTGCCTAGCCGTGCTGCTGCAGCAAAGCACGCGCTGCTGCTGCAATGCGCGTGCTGCAGTGGCGTGCGCGGCTGCCGCTGGCTAACGCGCGCGCTGCTGCGGGCTAAGAACGACTACGCGGGCCCGCGGGGGGGGGGGGGGGAGAGTCCCTTCTGGAGCGCGACGAAACGAGGGGCCAGCGGGGCCCTGTAAACGCGACGAAAAACGAGGCCCGCGGGGGCCCTTAAACGCGACGAAAACGAGGCCCGCGGGGGCCCTTAAACGCGACGAAAACGAGGCCCGCGGGGGCCGTCCTACCCGCGACGAAACGGGGCCTAAGGGACGGGCGCCTCGGGACCGGCTAAGGGAGGGAGCGGAAGCGTGGGAGGGAGTAAAAAACCTACTCTAATACCATCTTAAGATAGGCTAGGAGACAAGTGTCGAGAGTAATGTTTGCGTAAGGAGAGACAAGGAGATACAAATGTCGACCTAAAGTGTTGTACCCTTTAGAGGGCAACTCACTGTAGCCTATCTAACAATATATAGAATATATAAACATTTGACACTTATCCCTGTCTCATCACTATCACTGAGCTCATCACAAAATATAAACTCGTAAAATGGCATTCCACTTTATCACACTCAAACCACAACACGCATCACAACCAAACATGCCTTACAAAACCTAGTCATCGATCAACTTCAGGCCTCCTTTTGGACCAGTCCAGCTGCAGCAATCTGCTTTCTGGCTTCTTCACATTCGTCTTTGAGCCGTTGGTGAACAGCCTTCAACGCTTTCAGCTGTTCCTCTGCTCTTGATGCTTGTTCCAACACACTTCTGTTTGTCTGGCGAAGCTGTGAAGTCTGCAAGAAAGCACATGGCAATGTCATGGTACATTAACAGGGACCCAACTAAGTTGCCAGATATGTCCATCTTCGAAATAACATAGCCAACCGCACACATACTCAAGAAGCACATACAAAAGATTCTGAGCCCCTCACCTCTTCATGAAGCCGCTCCATCATATCTTGTCGGCGCATTCGACTCCGTCGAGCCGATTCACGATTTGACTCCTTTCTGCAGTGCAAAGCAAATCGTGTTGTGTGTTAAGATTCTTGCTGTTTATGTGAACAAGGGCAGTAAAAAGGCCAGTCTTGGCTCTGATTCTGACAACTGGAAGAGCAATATCTCACCTTTTGACTTCCTTCTCATCGCCTGAACTTGCATGGTCTCCCTTAGCTGCCAACTTTTGCTCCATGACCTGGTGAGGCGCATCTTGTCCCGCTTCTGTGTCCCAATCTCTTGCAGCAAGCTTGTCAACAGGACTAGGTGCTGCTCGCTCTGTGAACTCTGCAGCCCCACCATCTCTGTGCTGCCAAACAATACCCCCTGCTGGGGATCCAGTAACACCAGCATGCACGTTTGCCTCCCATGGCAAAGCACGGTCCATTATCGGAAAAGGCACAGAGTACGCATCCACTTCTTGCTGCTGCTGGTGCTGGTTCTGCTGCCAATGCAGGGGCTGAACGTGGCAGGAGGGCGTCGAGAGCCATGGGGGGAGCCCAGCACTAGCCGCTGCTCCTGGCATGGACAGCCATGGGCCTGGGATCTGCCCTGGTTCAGTTTCTTCCCTATCCCATGTCCTCCCCGCACCACAAGTGCATCCCTCCTCCTCGCTACTCCCGCACTCCAAACCAACAGATCCTACTCGGAACCCACACCCCATCATACCCCCGTCCACGCCCATGCCCATGCCGAGTATGTGAGGGTAGGGAGCTACCTGGGGTGGTGCAAGCGGCGGCGAGTGGAGGAAGCGCGCAGTGGCGCATGCCATGGTGGGCAGCTGGCGGGCGGACAGGGGAAGCACGGCCTCCAAGTCCGGACTGCTGCTGCTGTTGCCCATCCCGCCACCAAGCCTCGCCCAGTGGGGATCAGCTGCAGCTGCGGCAACTGAAAAGGGCGAGGCTGCAATGGTAGATGGAAGGTAGGTTGCAAGGGGCGGCATGCAGGGGGCGCCCTGCATGGAGTCGGGCGGCGGGCAGCAGCACGGAGAGCGCAGCGATGAGTAGCCGTTGGCGCCCACCTCGTCACAGTGACACGTGACGACTGCTTCCGCCAACGGCGACGGAGTCGGAGGAGAACCAGCCGGAGAAGTCAGTTGAGGCGCGCCGAAGTGGGCGGGGGTTGCGGCAACACCTGGCGGGCAGCGAGATGGCTCGTGCTGCGCTTGATCCGAAGGAATGGCGATACCAGCAGAAGAACGAGAGTGGAGAAGGTTGGCTCGCGTGGGGTGCGGAAGAGGCGGTGCTCCGCGATGCGGCGACAGTGCGCGCGTGTGCTCCAAGTGCAGCTTACTACCAGCAGTGCACGGTTGTGTTGCCAGCGCGGCGACTTCTCCTTTCCGTGGTCTGGAAACACGTGAAGGAGGCGGAACAGGGGTGCAGAGGGGGGGAAGGTCAGTGGGAGTCGACTGGGAAATGTCCAAACAGATGCTAAGGCTGTTGCGTACAAGAAGCAACATAGGAAAGACAGTCAAAGGACAGATGTTTTACTTTTTGGTGGGAGGCGCTGTTTTGAGCCCGATGACGCATTTGATGTCCGCCATAGTCAGCCGCATGGACGCGGGAAGCGGCCGAGGACGACAGCTCGACGGCCTGCCGGGAGCTGTGGCAATGGCTGCGATATTACCCTTGCTCGTGTCACTGGGGTGCGCGCCAGGAGTGCGCTCCACGTCGTTCGCAATCGGATTGCCGGCGGACAACCGCAGGTTTGTGCCTTCTGTGCATTCCGTGCAGGCCCCGCAACTCTCAGGTGGCGCCCCTTGAATGGGGAGGCGAAGCGTGGGTGCAGAAACGCCGTGCTCGCCGTCGCAGCAATCACTGCTGCTCGCGCCGGAGTTGGTGTCACCAGGGAACGGACGCCGCTTGCGAGACGACACGGCAGTCACAGGAGATTTTAAGAGACGCGCATCATCTTGAGGTGTTACATCCCATTGCGACAGAAGCTCCTCGCCACCGCCTGTCGACATCGGGGGGTCGTTCGAGCAGAAATCCGCGTTAGGCTTTTCTTCCTCCATCGCCTTCATGGCATCCGAGATGCATGTGTAAGGAGATGAGGGTGGGAATAGGGATGGCAAGGACTGGGTGAGCGCGGAAATGGGCGAAGACGGGCACCAGTCGAAGCATGCCAAGTCATCGCAAGTCCCTGTCGATGGAGCAAGCACGGCAGGCTTTTCGGCGTGATAAAATGCCTTCACAAGCATCAAATGGCTCTCCGTTAACGCGGTAACGGACGCAGATCTGATCATGTTGGGATCAGACGTAAACTGCACTTCCTCCTCGGGCACATCTACCCCAGCTCGCTGGCCTTCAGCTACCAACGCCATTTCACGGGTTCGCATGCAGCGTGTAGATTTAGTCTAGCAGCTGAAGCGGAGCAGCTAACGTAAAAATCGAAGGGTTGTATGAAATGAACTGAGAAGTGTATTTCATCCTGCAGCGAGTGTTGGATGACGAACAGTTTGTATGAAATCATGAACCCCCCTGCGCAAACAGAAGCGCCCGCCCTCACTCATCCCTCCGCGGCCCACCCACACACCACCAGTGCATTCGTTCGTTCCGTCCGTTCGCGCGATGCTTCGCCCAACATGTGTGGGGGATGACGTATGTGGACTGTGCGGGCAAGAGGGAACAAACGTTTTTCATGCCCTATGCAACGCCAAGCTTCCCCTTGCAGCTCGAAAAGTGCGGCACCGTTTCATCTTGTGGTCGGTGTATTGAATTCGCCTGCCCAAAACAGCCTAGTCAACGGCACGCGATCTTGTTCAGGAAGAGTTTCAGCCGTGGCGCCACTCAAATGGAAGAGTTTCAGCCCCTAACAACAAGCTAGCTCATCAAAGACAGATTGCTCCAGAGCTGACGCATCAAACAGATTTGGCCAGCATAGACAATTTTTGTGGCTGGAGAAAAACGTTCAACGACAGTGAAAGCGTGCCGTCAACGCGCCTTGGCACTCCGTGTCGGGTTTGTGCTGGAACAACTTTCTACAGAACACCACAAATGAGAGTTTCCGGGCTTTTAAAAACCTTCACAGAGGAGGTAGGCCCACCGAGAATGGTGCAAAGGGTTCAGGCCACACCATGTCCGGTATGTAATTTTACATCTAGCACTACCACATCCAAAAAACAATGATTGTGCTGGTTGTCGCACACCTATTTCATTGGCTTGTCCCAAATGACGTGTACATTTGAGCTGGGAGAAGCCAAAAGGGGAAGACTGACCAATCATTTTTCAGAAGGTAAAAGTCCAACCCAAACGAAACTCACCATAGTGTCTCTTGCTAGTTACATAAACGTACCGTAGTCTGTCTATGTTGAAACATGTGTACAAGCTGGTATGACAAGGGAAATGACATCACACATTAACACCTCCTACAGCCACGCTGCTTGTTAATCCCCGGACGTGAGATTTCCCACTGTCACCGGTCCTAGTTTTGAGGCGCCTCAAAAATAGTGTCCTGGTGCAGCCTCGTGCTTCCAAAAGTCTCTAAGCGTGTTAGCATCACTCCAACGGCCTCACAGATGCAATGGCATTCTGTATTGTGCGAGCCAGTGTATGCAACTGGAATGGCTTTGTATCGTAGCCATCCATGCCAGCGGTTAAGCATTTCTCCTTGTAGCCTTGCATTGCGTGTGCTGTCAGCCCAACGATTGTGATGTGACAAGTGCTCTGCTGCTGCTGATGCTCTGATGCTTGTCCGATTGGACTAGGTACGGCACCGGGCAAACTTGAGGCCTGCAGCTCCCACTGTCGAATCGTGCGAGTGGCTTCGATACCATCCATGATAGGCATCTGAAAACGATCGCCACACACATGGGTGACACGTGCAGCATTGCAATGGGGGATGGGGAGGTGGGGGACAAATCAGGGTGGAGGAAATGAAGATCTAATGGCATCAGCACGCAGGGGGTAGATCACACGGTGACTTGTGCGGGACGAATCAAGGGTGGACGAGAGAGGCAGGCAGAGAGACGGATGACTAGAGCGAGAAAGAGGAGAAAGAGACAGGTGAGCGAGGGGCGGAGACATGCAGTAGAGGGACGGACGGGAGAGAGCAAGGGGAAGAGAGAAGGGGGGGGTGAGCAAGGGGGGAGTGAGAGCAAGAGGGGAGTGAGTGAGAGCAAGGGGGGAGTGAGAGCAAGGGGGGAGTGAGAGCAAGGGGGGAGTGAGAGCAAGGGGGGAGTGAGAGCAAGGGGGGAGTGAGAGCAAGGGGGGAGTGAGAGCAAGGGGGGAGTGAGAGCAAGGGGGGAGTGAGAGCAAGGGGGGAGTGAGAGCAAGGGGGGAGTGAGAGCAAGGGGGGAGTGAGAGCAAGGGGGGAATGAGAGCAAGGGTGGAGTGAGAGCAAGAGGGGAGTGAGAGCAAGGGGGGAGTGAGAGCACATGTAACAGCCCCACCTGAATATCCATGAGAACCACATCGAATGCATCATGGGCGGCAGTCACGGCATCCACAGCAGCCTTGCCATCGCCCACCACCGTGACCACAGCGCCTGCCTTGCGCAGCAGGTGCATGGCCACCTTCTGGTTCACCACGTTGTCCTCCGCTAACAGAATGCGCATCCCTGATAGCGTCTCCACCCCGCCAACCCCCGCCGCCGCCTTGCTCGCACCCCCACCTCTGCTTCTCGCCCCTGCCTCGCCTGCTGTGTCCATACCCCTACCCCCTCCTGCCTTTCCCAGCACCGACTGGCCAGCCCCTGCAGTGCTGTCCTCATTGCTTCTGGCACTCCCAGCAGAGGTGGAGGAGAGGCGCGCACATGGAGCAGGGGAAAGAGCAGCAGGAGTTGGAGTGGAAGTGAGGGGAGGAGGAGCTTGAGGCTTGTTATGTCCTGAGTCGTGCATGTGTGATGCAGCTGAGGCTGGTGCTGGGGACAGCACAACCAATGCTGCTGCACCCGATTCTGCTGGGACGGTGTGAAGCAGTGCAGGTGAGCTTGGGAGGATGGAGGCAGTGCCTGGGCGATCAGAGGAAGGCGGTGTCGGGAGTAATGGAATGAGGACTGCATGGGGTGGCGCACACGAGACCAAGGAAGACAAGGTGGTGGCCATTTGGCCAGAGGAAGCAGTGGTGATGGTGGTGGTGGTGGCAGTGTGTGAGGAATGGACACAGGGAGGGGTGGAGACACAAGGTGTGCCTGGTTGACTCGAGGCAGCAGCAGCAGCAGCATTAGTAGGCGGGGGTGGGGAGTAGGGCTGAGGTGTCACGGCTGAGGCGGAAGGAATTTGAGAGTGGGGAGGCGACGAGGAGGCGAGAGGAGGGGAAGGAGAGAAGGCGATCAATAAAGAGGAGCTGGAGGGGGCACAAGAGGTGTCACCGGGTTGTGGGCAAGCAGGAGGGCACGCATTGTGCGGCTGAGTGGGTTGGGCCATGGAGGAGGCGGGTGCAGAGGGGTGCGTGGAGGGCAGGGAGAAGAAGCGTGCAGTGAAGGTGAAGGTTGAGCCTGCTCCGACCTGGCTGGCCAGGTGCAGCGTGCCACCCATGAGCGATACCAGACTGGCAGCACACACACAGGCGTGGGCAGGGGCGAGGGGGCAGACGGGGGTGGGGCGAAAAGGGAGAGGACGGTCAGAGTGTGGCCACTGGGGCATGCAATGCAGTGTGGAGGACTGGACGCAAGGCATGTGCGTGAGAAGTTTCACACGCACACACATGCATGCACACACACATGAGGCGAGGAGCGTGCTCACTTGTGCACGATGCTGAGGCCCAGCCCGGTGCCGCCATAGATGCGCGTGGTGGACGTGTCGGCCTGCACAAACGGCTTGAATATCTCGCCCTGCACCGCCCTCTCTATCCCGATGCCCGTGTCCCGCACCGACACCTGCAGCCACACCTCCTCCCCCACTTCCTCCGCCTCCCCCTCTTCTTCCTCATCCTCCTCTTCCTCCTCCTCCTCCTCCTCTTCCTCCTCGTCTTCTCCTTCCTGGTCGTCCTCTTCTGCCTGCTGTGCAGCATCCCAGGGCTGCCTCCGTGAGTCGCCACAGGCCTCAGGAGAAGGGTTCAGCGCACTGACAGCAGAGTCGGTGTACGCGTGGTGCGTGCAGGGCAGGGACGGCATTGTGAGCAGCGGTGCCGGGCAGTGCAGTGGGGTGGTGGGCCCTTCAAGAGGTGCTGCTGCAGGCACGGCAGCACCAAGGAACGGGGACGGTGGGGCTGACTCTGAACTCCCAGGTGCACCAGGGTGGGCAGCCGAGGGCGGTAGGGTGAACGCCCTGTGTGCCTGGCCTGATGGTATGCCAGTGAGCAACGGTGGTGATGGTGCTGCTGCTGCCGCCGCCTCGCCATGCAAACATCCATCGGCATGGCAGCACCTGCCACCATCAGCGCTCGCAATACGCGTCCACGTGCCCACTCTCCTCATGGCCTCTCTGGCAGGCGACGGCCACACGCCACTGTCCGCCACTGCACCCCACTCACCGCCCACACCCGCCTCCCTCTCGCCCGCCCCTGAGCCACTACCAGCGCCGGCACCAGCAGCGTCGGGTCTGATGGCGCTGACCCCCCCAATGAACTCCATGGAGCTCCCAGCGCGGCTGCACAGCTGCCGTGCCAGCGCCAGCACCTCTGCTCGCCCGCGCCCCCGCAGCATCTCCTCCCACCGCGCCGACTGCCCCCCCGCCCCCTCCTCGCCCCACGGCTGCACGCGGCCTCCCACATACCCCTGCGCGCCCCTGCCCGCCCCTCCGGACCCTGCCAGGCGCCGCTTCACCTTGGTCCCTGTGGACGCGCGGCGCAGCACCACTGCTGCTCCCGGCTCCTCTTCGTCCCCTGCGTGCCCTGCACTGTCGCGTGCGTCCACAGGCGCAGCAGCAGCAGCAGCAACGGCACTGAGCGCCGAGGTAGGCAGGGCGTGGCAGGAGGAGAGGCGCAGCAGCTGTTGCTGGCTGGTGGACGATCCATGGCATGCAGATGATGCTGATGCTGAAGCCCATGCTGACGCTGATGCTGATGTTGATGTTGATGCGTTGCCTGCCACTGCTGCCGTCAATGGTGCTCCTGCTGGTGCACCTCCGCCTAGTGCTGCCCCCAACCTTGCCTCTCCAGCACCAGCGCCTCCCCATCCGCCCTTGGCTCCCCTGTTCGCCCCTAATTCCATGCCGCCACTCAAATCACTCGCACGCCACTCGCTCCTTTCCCCACATCCAGTAGTCAGAGGCACCCATTCCTCGCCTCGCCTTACTCGCCCAGTAGCCCCGCGCCCCTTCACCAGCCTGCCCCACTCCGCAGACCACCCCCTGATTTTAAGCCTCTCCGCACCTGTTGCTGCTCCTGCACTCACCGCACTGTCATGCACAGCTCCCCCTTCTTCCCACGCCCTCCCTTCGCTGGAAACAGCAGCAGCAGCAGCAGAAGCAGCGTGGTCAGCAGCAGCAGCAGCAGCAGCAGCATGGGCATCCCGAGAACCGGCGGACATGCACCGGCCAGCATGCCTCAACTGCACCGGCATGCCCCTTGCCTCGCCGTCACCTGTGCTGGCAGCAGCGTAGGGAGCAGCAGCAGCAGCGCAGGGCAGGTGGGCAGAGAAAGGCGGCAGCGGCTGCGAGTGGAAGAGAATGCCTGAGTGCGTGTTGCTGTGCTGGTGATGCACGTGCGGCTGGCGCTCAGACGCTGTGGGATGGGAGGGCGGGTTGGCGGGGAAGCAAGGAGAGGAGGGCGAGGAGGAAGTGCACAGCGGCCCACTGGGCTGCTGGCACTGCTCACCGTGCCTCTGCGCCCCCTCCTCTCTCCGCCCCTCCCCTTCACCGCCAGCACCAACGTCACCAGCGCCCCCTGCCCGGTCGCCACCGCCTGCCAGCACATCCCCCATCCCTGCCCACTCAGCCCCCAACGGCCCCCCCATTCGCTTCCCCGCTACCAGCAATCGCTGAGACAGGCTGTAACTGGGGGAGGCACCACCTGCTGTACAGGCAGCAGGAGCGGCGGCAGTGGGAGGAGGATGAGGAGGGGTGGAAACAGCGGGCATGGGCGTGGCAGCAGTGGCGGCGGGGCGAGAGACGTCTGTGAGGCGCTGCCTCATGGCTTGCAGGTAGCGTGCTATGGCATGGGGGTCACTGGAGGAGCGGAAGAGGGGCGAGGGCACCATGCGCACTGCTGCTACCTGCTGCCACTGCGGCCTGCCTCCCACAAAGAGAGGCGGCAGGGCAGCGGCTGGCGAGCGTGCATGTGTGGGAGTGCGGTGCTGCCACTGTGCGTGGTCGTGCTGCTGTGTGTGCTGCACGTCGCCTTGCTCCCCGCCTGTGTGTCTCTCATACACCATGTCAGATGCCCTGCCACACGCCTCCCACTCACCCCCTGCTGCTGCTGCTGCTGCTCCAGGAGAACCCCCATCAGACTCTCTGCTTGACGGACTCCTCTCCTTCCCATCCCCGCACATGCTTTCCTGCCCCTCCGCTAGCCATAAATTACCGGACTCTAGATCCCCCACCCCTCCATGCATACTCCCTCCCGCATTCCCGTCGTCCTCGCGCCCACCCTGAACACTGTCCGCAGCAGCATAACTGCGCACGCTCTCGGGCACAGCAGGTGCAGAGTCTGTGTCGAGCAGGTGCTTGGGGTGGGCAGTGGGGGCAGCGGCATGTGAGGAGCAGAGGTGCACGGCCACCTCTATGAAGCCCTTGTGCGTGAACTTTATGGCGTTGCCCACTGCCACGCCACACATGCCATGCCACACATGCCATTCCAGAACATGCCACCAGACATGCCACAAGATAGGCAAATCCATAGCAGCCATACAAAGAGCAGGCAATACATGAGATGGGCGCACAAGAGGCATGGTGCGACCAGGGGCATGATTTATGTGAGCTTGTGGATTCTGAGCGTGCACGGCATGAGCGTGGTTGGGAGGGGGACGGGAGGAGTCGGGTTGGAGAGGACGGGGGTGGGTGGAGGAGCAAAGAACAAGCCACGAGCTGCAAGCAAACGACTGAAATCATAGGTGAGAGGTGACAGAAAGCACGCGAGCAAGGCAGCAGTGTGACCGCACTGCACGCCACGCCCCCATGGGCCCACGGTGCAATGAGGGAGAAAGGAAGCAAGCGAGCGCAAGGGCGCACCGAGGTTGTTGATGCACTGCTGCAGGCGCACGGGGTCGCCCACGAGCGTGCGCGGCACCTCAGGTGCTATGTCCCACGCCAGGGCCACTCGCTTCTGCGCCGCTTGCACCTGCCACACCACAATTGCGAGAGAGGGTGGGGACGCAGGCGGGGTGACAGGGCACAGATGCCCAGCAGGCGGGGTTGCATTGTGAGAGCGGATGTTGCAGGGGACGTGCGCAGGGGACGTATGAAGGGGAGAGAGAGAAGGCGCTCAGGCAGAGACGGTGGGTGAAGGCGGTGGCAGGAGGGCGAGTGCTCCCAGCGTCTGACCTGCAGGGCGTGGAGCACGGAGAGCACGACCTCCCTGGGGCGGAAGGGCTTGCGCTGCAGCAGCAGGCGGCCGGCCTCGATCTTGGCGACGTCGAGCACGGTGTTGACTATGTGCAGCAGTGCACTCGCGGACTCAAACACCGTGTCCAAGTGCGAACTCACGTCCCCCACCAGCCGCTGCGCCTCCTCCCACTCCACCCCCACCCCGCCTCCTGCCCCTCCCATGCGCCCCCAATTGCCTGCGCCGTCCCCTTTGTGAGAGTGCTTCCCCTTGGCGGGTGTGGCATGCGCGCCCCTGTGGGGTTTACCCGCGCATGCGCGTGGGACGAGCAGCGCTTGCAGCGAGGCGAGCGTGTCCGCGGCCACTCGTGTCATGCCCATGATGCCGTGGATGGGCGTGCTGCAGACGTGGACGATGGATTGGGTACGTGCAGAGGGGAGGAAGTTGAGAGGGCAGGAGGAAGCGGTGGGGGAAAGTGGAGGACGGCGTGGAAGGCGAGGAGGTGGAAGGGGGAGGCCAAGAGGACAAGCATGCCTCGTGCGTCATGCCTCAGCGTACCCCGTGCCTATTTCACGCCTCACCGGATCTCACGCCTCACCGGATCTCACGCCTCACCGGATCTCACGCCTCACCGGATCTCATGGCTCATGTTCGCCAGGAACTCCGTCTTTGCTTGATTAGCCGCTTCTGCTGCTTTCTTGGAAGCCTCCAATTCCTGCCACGTGGCGGAGAGAGGAGCACAGGTGGGCATAGCAAGGGCGCGCATGATGCATGGCAGGGGACTACCAGGGATGCATTGCGCACCCTCCCGGCATGGAATATGGAACCACGCAATGCTGCTGCGTGCCTGGTTGGTGAGAGTGAGCTGCAGGGTGCGGTGCAGCACTTGCTTCTCGAGCGTGGCGTTCATGGCCCTCAGCTGCCGCCGCAGGCGCCGTGTGTCGCGCACCACGGCGCCCAGCACCACGCCCACCACGGACAGCACGCACACAAACCCCTGCGCCTGCAGCTCCGACGCCATGGCCGTGGACCGCTGCAGCGGGCCCCACCCACGCGCCGTCGCGAAGCTCGTCAGCGCCGCCACCACAAACACCACACACGCCAGGAAGCTGCTCCGTACGTGCGCGTGCAAGGGGAGAGGAGGGTAACGGGGGAGGGGGGGTGGGGGGAGGGAGGGAGAGTTGGAGGGATTGTTGGGCGACAGAGGGCAGGAGGGGAGCAAGGGGTGGGTGGTGAGAAGAGGACGGGGAACATGCATGACAGGGCAGGCGATCATGGCGAGACAACGGACGACACATGGAGGGGACGTTGGGGAGGAGTGGAGGGTGGCGTACGTACAGGCGATTGAAGCGCACGGCGGACCACATGATGAGAGGGAAGAAGAGGTATGGCAGGGCGACGAGCCACTCCTCTGAGTCCAGCACGGGCGTGAAGAGCAGCAGCAGCAGCACCGCCAGCAGCCCCACCAGCGCCCCCGCCTCCACCACCCGTAGCATGCGCCACCGCGGCCGCATGCACGCTGATGATATCACGTGCACGCTGCACACACACACACACACACACACACACAGCACGCGCGGCGCAGAAAGCGCTCGGCTTTGAGGTGCGGGGAGGGGGGGTGGCGGCATGGCGAGATGCAGAGGGAGGAGCGGCGAAACGAGAAGAACAGTGCAGATTACAGAGCGCAGCAGGCGGGATGACGTGCGACAGTGTCTCAAGGACGTGACGGCAGTGGTGGGGGCGGGCAGGGGGCAGCAGGCAGGTGCAAGCGTACCCTGAGCGCCATCCGCGCTGGCGGATGGGGCGCACGATCCAGTGGCGCGCGGACCAGAGCGAGTAGGTGAGCAGCGGCAGGAAGCAGATGACGCCCGCGAAGTCCGCCAGCCACCAGATCACGAACGTCCTGCGGGCCGTCGCCATGGGGGCACACGAGGGCATGGGGGGCATTCGGGAGCATTCGGGGGCATTCGGGGGGATTCGGGGGCATTCGGGGGGATTAGGGGGCATACGAGGGGATTCGGGGGCGCGGGCACGCGCGCACAACATCAAGCCCCCTGCTTCTTGACCGTTCTCTCCTTCGCTGCCCCCTACCTCCAAACACCTCCCCTCGCCCCTCCCGCTTCGCTTACCCGTCCGATCCCCCCTCCTGCGGCTCTCTTTCCTATTCCGCGCATGCGATGGCGCCCACCTGGCGGAGTCAGCAGCGGATAGCAGCTGGCAGAGCCCCATGGTGATGGCCTGAATGGCGTTCGCGATCAGCGCGGCGACGGTGGTAACCACCATCATCTGCACCACGTCCTGCGCGCTATCCAGCGGCGTCGTCTCCTCGTACACCCGCGTTTCCTCTCCCTCCCCCCCACCCGCCTCCCCAAATGCGCCCCCCTCCTCGTCCCCCCAGCTCCGCGTCTCCGCGTCCTCCGCGCCTTGCTTGCCGGTGCAGCATACGCGCGCGCCCCCCATCCGACTGCTACCGCCTTCCAAGTCGCAGTCCTCCGCCGCTAACACGCCATCCCCGCGCTCTGTGGCGGGCGCCGCCGTGCACGCGCGCGGAAGGAGCGCAGCAGCAGCGGCGGCGAGCGCAGCGGCGGGCTGGCGGATGAAATGCGCGGCGACGACGGCCTGCATGGAGTTGGTGAGCGACAGCACCGCGCCCGCCGTCACTAAACCCCACGCCGGCGCGTCGGGCTGCGCCGTAGCGAACCAGAGATTAAATAGCAGGTTCCCGATAAATAATCCCACCGCGCAGCGAGGCCCGAGGCACTGGTAGAATGTTAGACAGCACGATGGAGGAAGGGGGGGAGGGGGGAGGGGGGAGGGGGGGGGGAAAGGACGACGAGGGATGGAGAGGAGGAAAGGAAGGTGGTGGCACAGAAGGGAGGAAATCCTTGAGGGAAGTGTGGAAAACGGGGAGATGCGAGTCGGGGGAACGTGTTGAAGCGTGGTGAGGAGAAGGACTTACGAGACTGGCGAAGTAGGCAAAGCCGGTGGGCAGCCACACGGTAGAGAGCTGGCCTTGCAGCCGCAGGTTGCAAATCACAAACTCGATCGCGCCGAGACTTAAATAACCAAATGTTGCGCCAGCCGTTAATAGCAACTGCATGTGCCATGGCCACTTGTCCATCATCCATCTCGCAGGCCACCACGACACATCCGCCTTGCCATCCCGGGCACGCGCCGCCGCCGCGTGCTGCGGCTGTTCGCCTCCAAAGCTGGCATCAACGCGCAAGCCTTGGTCTAAAGGAACGTTCACCGAACCCTCTGGACGTTCTGCCGAAGCGCCTTCAAGAGTATCCTGTGCTACGCGTCTCACGGTATCAGTCACCAGCTGACTCATGACGGAGAGTTACTCTTCTGCTCAGACACCATGGACAATCCATGCAACAACAAAAAAAACATTTGTGAGAGGCAGGGGAATGAGAAAGTGGTTCTAGTTTTTGGCTGCTCCATTGTGAGGTGGGCGACAGGGCCGGGGAAGGGAACTGAACAGGGGCTTGAGGTGGCGGTTTTGACGGACTCATGTCCTGTCCTGTGACCTGTCCTTGGCTTGTGGAGAAGATTTCGATGAAGGGGGTACTTTTTGTGAGACTGGCATGTCACTTTGCTGGGCAGGTACTGTATCAAGATATTTCACTTGGGGGACGACATGATCCCAGTCCACTCCAGAACTGGAAATTCGATTGAACACAACTCCCTTCCGAACAGTTCTGCAGTAAGCCGATTGTACTATTAAGTGTGGTGCTCAAGAGGCGTGTCATGTGTAGAACAGTGCCGAAGATGTTCCCCGAACTTGGGTGTGTATCACGTGTATCTTAGCCAAATGGGAGCGTCTCTGGTAAAAAATCATCATTTCCTGGCTCCTGGATCCTGTACATCGAATTTCGGATTGCACTTTTTGCCTTCAGCGTTTTCGGTTGTTCTATGCTGTTGTGTACGTCCTTATCAACATCGCCCATTTTGTCCGCCTGGTCGTTAGCTGGCCCTTGAGGACACCGCCGCCAAGGCAGCCCATTTCCCAAGTGGTAGCTTTGCTTTCGTCCTCTTCCAAGTGCTGTGCAGGTGTGGCTGTGTTCCTCCAGCTACTGCATCAGATGGGACCACGAAAATGAGCAACTTGCTTATAACGACTAGAGGGCTGAATTTGTGTAACTACCTAAATAACAAGATAAGATGGCATTCATTCCAGATTGTGGCTCATTCTGCTTGAGAACACTGAAATCTTAGTGCCTAATCTTGATGGAAAATGGTGCGTTAAATCCTCCCAACCTGCCTTTCAAGGCCGTCAATACTCATATCTGTTACGAATAGCAATTGTTGAAACACTACTGTGCACTCCTCACCGCAGCAAACGAAGCACGCACTACCGAGAGTGAAGGCGAAAAGGCACAAGTGACGCGAAGGGTCGCACGGTTACGAAAGCATCTGGACCGTCGGGCAGACAGCATCAGGCAGCAGCAGTGGCGAGGATTCTGCCCGGACAGTTTCGTAACTGTCTGGAGTCGCACGGTTGGATTTCGATGTAATAAGGGAATGTACCCCTTAGAGTACATGGCTAGCTAGGTCGATTCAAATTCCCCTGTACTCTTATTTATATTCCTTGTACTGCATGTTTTTATTATCTCAAGCATTTACATTCACTCTGCTATTGAGGTCAAGGGCCCACCACCACTAGACTAGGAGTGTGCGAACATTCATGAGGTGATCCTGAGGTCGATCAACTTCTGATCGCAACATGGTATGAGAGCGACTCAGGATCCTTCGCACCGCCACTACCGAAATTTTCGGCAAACGAAAAGTGGCGTCCGGCACACGCTCACGTGTGAGAATGGCCGGAGGATCTGGTGGTCAGACGAATCTGACGGCTGAAGCGCAGACCAACCCGGCTGCGACAAGCGAAGAAACGACGACGATTCCTTCCGCCGTTCTCGCACAACTGCTTCAACGACTCACCAGTTTGGAGCAAGGACTCCAAACATTGCGGAATGGCGACACGGGAACATCTTCCCAACCCTCTCAACCGGCCTCGAACGGCCACAATACCGCCCCGCATACCTTCTCCCTCGACACCAATGGCTCAACTCCCAAAACTCCCCGTCCCAGCGAAGAGGCAATTCTCTCTGCGCAATCAAAGTTTCTGAGTATATAAAAAATAAAGACAAGTGTGTGCTTTGACGGCAGAGACTTCTATACATGGAGCTTCGAGCTGGAACTGCTGCTGCAAAACGCGCAGGTCTTCCATTATTTCGACGGGAGCTACTCGGGACCCGCTGAAGACACCGACGACGCCTAGGCGAGGTACTACAACGAGTCCCTGATGGCGTACGGAGTTTGTCAAACATTATATGTTTATATTGTGTAGGCTATAGTGGGTTTAGCCTTAGGGGGTACAACTTTGCTAGGGTTTCCTACTTGTATCCCCATCATTCCTAGTTTCATCATTCTCGTTCACATCTAGATTCTAACATGGTATCCGACGCCTAGGTCAGGACCTAGGACCGACGTTGGTTTGGGCCCACCGTTCCACCGCGCCGTCGAGCGCCCCTTCTCGCGCCGTCGAGCGCCCCTTCTAGCGCCGTTTGCGCCCCCTCTAGCGCCGTCGAGCGCCCCTACTAGCGCCGTCGTGCGCCCTAGTGGCCGCCGCCCGTAGGCTGCCCGTCGCCCGTAGGCTGCCCGTCGCCTGCCATCGCACGTAGGCCGCCCTTACGCTGCCCGTACGCCGCCCGTAGGCCGCTGCCGCCCGTAGGCCGCCCGTACGCCGCCCGTAGGCCGCTGCCGCCCGTAGGCAGCCTGTACGCCGCCCGTAGGCCGCTACCGTCCGTAGGCAGCCCGTAGGCAGCCCGTAGGCAGCCCAGTGGCGGCCCGTACGCCGCCCGTAGGCCGCTCGCGCGCAGGCCGTAGCCCGCGCGCCGCGGCTGCTGCACGCCGGCGCCTGCAGCCCGCCGGAACCCGTGCGCGTCGCCCCCTGCCTCTTCGCGACGCCCTTACGGGACCCGCGCGTCGCCCCCGCCTCTTCGCGGCGCCTCTGCGGGACCCGCACTTCCCCCCCCCCCCCCTGCCTCGTCGCGACGACCCTGCGGGACCCGCGCGTCGCCCCCGCCTCGTCGCGACGCAGCTGCGGGACCCGCGCGTCGCCCCCGCCTCGTCGCGACGCAGCTGCGGGACCCGCGCGTCGCCCCCGCCTCGTCGCGACGCAGCTGCGGGACTCGCGCGCGTCGCCCTTGCCTCGTCGCGTCGCCCCCGCGCGACCCGCGCGTCGCCCCTGCTCACCGTGGCGCCCTGCCCTACCCCGCGCCCGCCCTTGAGACGGCCGCCCCTGGCCCCTAGAGCAGCCGCACCTACAGCAGCCGCCCCTGGCCTCTAGAGCAGCTGCACCTACAGCCGCCCCTGGACCCTGGAGCAGCCGCCCCTGGCCACCTGGAGCAGCCACCACAGCAGGAGCCGCCCCTGGACCCTGGAGCAGCCGCCCCTGCAGCAGCCGCCCCTGGCCCCTGGAGCAGCCGCCACTGCAAGAGCCGCCCCTGGCCCCTTGAGCAGCCGCCCCTGGCCCTTGGAGCAGCCGCCACTGCAAGAGCCGCCCCTGGCCCCTGGAGCAGCCGCCCCTGCAGCAGCCGCCCCTGGCCCCTGGAGCAGCTGCCGTCGCGGCCCGGCCCCGCCCTGCAGCAGCTGCCGCGGAGCTCCCTGCCGCGACCCGGCCCCGCCCTGCAGTTGTAGCGGCCCCACTGTCGCCACTGTCTTGCGCCTGCCGCGCCGACCACTGGTGAGCATTGCCCTGCCCGCACTGCTACTGCTGCTACTGCTGCTACTGCTGCTCCTGGCGTGGCCAGATGCAGCTCCAGGGCCGTGCGCGTGAGTCCCTCACGCCCCAGCAGCTTCGTGAGTGGTACGCTAGTTGGGGCTGTCGGGGTGGCCGTAGTGGTAGTCGCTCTAGAGTGGGTCGTTCGGGAGCTTCTGGTAGTGGACAGGTGCAGCTGCCGTGTCCTCTTTCGCCCCAGCAGCTCCGTGAGTGGTACGCTCAGAGTAGAGGGTCATTGAGTACTGCTCGCTGCCCGTACGTCATTCGCACAGGTGTCCGGACTAGTCAGCCTTGCGGGACCCGTGGCCACACAGAGTCCCACTGCTTCGCCCGTCTGGGCGACGCTTGGCGTACAGAGTTTGGCGACGCCGCTGAGCTCCCCTCTTGGGTGGAGCTGCTTAGGTAGAGGGTAGATATCTTTGCTCTTGACTCTGATGCTATCCTCACTGCCATGTATGCATTGTCTACTAGTACTGAGAGTGCCTGTCCCCTGTGTGTACCGCCTGACCCCGGTATCGAGTCTGCTGCTCTAGGTGCTGGTGAGTCTGCTGCCCCAGGTACTCGTGCGTTTGCACCTGCTGGTACTGCGTCTACTGCGGCACTGCACACCTTCACACTGGACTCCGGTGCTTCCCGCTGTTTCTTTCGTGACCGCACGGCCCTTGAGCAGCTTGCTCGGCCGGTTGCAGTCTCCCTTGCTGACCCCTCTGGGGGTCCGGTCCTTGCGACCTCCTCCACTGTCCTCCCTTGTCCTGCGGTCCCGTCGGGCACACTGTCAGGTCTTTACCTCCCCTCGTTCTCTACGAACTTGGTGGCGGGTAGTGCGCTCCAGGACGGGGGTGTCCACCAGTTCACCCCTGCCTACGAGCGCGTGACACACTGCACGTGTGCTCGGACGGGCCGTCACCTGGCTACCTTCACTCGGCAGCCGGGGTCGGACCTGTACACACTGACCAATGAGTCCCCTCAGGTAGCAGCGTCTGCGTCTGCGTCCGGTCAGCTGTCGGCCCCCTGCTCGTGTCGCTCTCTAGCGCACGAGACCGTCCTCTGGCACCACCGACTTGGTCACCCGTCCGTGCAGCGCCTTCGTGCCATGCACAAACGATACCTTGTCTCTGGTCTTCCCAGGGTTCTCCCTCCCCTCCCACCCTCGCCTGCTCCTCCCTGTCTTCCCTGTGTCGAGGGGCGGCAGCGCGCCGCTCCTCACTCCTCCTCGTTTCCCCCGACGACTGCTCCCTTGCAGACACCCACATGGACGTGTGGGGCCCAGCCCGCGTCCGTGGTCAGGGTCAGGAGAGGTACTTCCTGATAGTTGTT